GAGAGGGAAAGTTCTTGGTGATGAGGACGGAGGCACTAGATCGTATAGGGCCCTATAGGACATGGTAAGGAGTTTGGATTTTATTCTAATTACAGTTGGAATCCATTTGAGGATTTTACTAAGGAGAGATATGATCTTCAAAGATCAGTTTTGATAATGTGTAGAGGATGCATTGCAGATAGACCACATAGGTGGTGGGGATGGTTCATGTGAATAATACTTATATTGCCATGGAGTTATAACCAAAGAGACTGTATAATTTGGGATGTGTTTCTGGAGGTAGACCCCCACTAATGGATTGGATGTGGTAAATGAGGGGAAAAAATTGAGGATAAATCTTAGACCTTTGCCTGAGCATATAAGAAGATAATTATACTATTTATTGAAATGACAAGAGCTCAGAGTGAAATAATTTTGGGGACTGATAAGCAGAAATCAGCAGGCCTATTTTGGTCATGTTACATTGGAAGTGTCTATGAGATACCAAGTAGGAATGTCCAGTAGTCATTTAAAGATACCGGTTTGGCACTCAGGGGAGAAGTCAGACTAGAGACAGAGACATGAAAGTTTCCAGCATACAGTTTTTATTTAAAGCTACAGGTCTGGGATGCCTGGTTGGCTTGGTCAGTTAAGTTTCCATCTTGGTTTCGGCTCAGGTCATGATCTCAGGGTTGTGAGATGGAGCCCAACATCAGGCTCCGCACTGAGAATGGAGCCTGCTTGGGATTCTCTCTCCCTCTCACTCTCTCTCAAAACAAACAAACAAAACAGTAGCTACAGACTTAAGTATAGACATAGAAGATAACAAGCCCTAAACCAAATCCTGGATCATTCCAACACTCAGAGGTAGTATAAATTACAGTTAGCAGGAGATGAGCAAGAATTCATATGTATCACTTCTTACATCCTTTTGGTGAGTTCTTAGTCACACTGCCATAGCACAACAGGAAGGTAGAAAATGTTGTCATAATACCACATGATGTCACTTGTATGTGGAATTTAAAAAACAGATGAACATAGGGGAAGGAAAAGATAAATAAGATTAAAACAGGGAGGCAAACCATAAGAGACTCTATAGGGAACAAACTGAGGGTTGCTGAAGGGGAGGTGGGTGGGGGGATGGGGTAACTGGGCTTGGGTATTAAGAAGGGCATGTGATGTACTGAGCACTGGGTGTTGTATGCAACTGATGAAGCATTGAATTCTACCTCTGAAACTAATAATACACTATATGTTACTTAAATTGAATTTAAATTAAAAAAATTTTTTTAATTATTGTCATTATTTTGGGGTGCCAGATGCCCACGTAAAAATACAGTCTTCTGTTACTTCAGAGAGCAGAGGAATGGATAGTTGGAGTACAGCTAGCATTCTTTCTACAGAGGTTGAATACAGAAGTAGGTCCAGCAAATGGAAGTGAGGAGGAACAGCCAGTGAGATAGGAGTAAAACCAGGTAATTGTGGCACAATGGAATGTTAGAAAAGAAAATCATTTAAGAAAGGAGGTGGAGTGGCCAAGTTTGTCAGATGTTCTTGGGGGGTTAAGTAAGATGGAGATGGAGCCTTTGGGCTTTAACAAAAATGGACAACATTGGTAATCTTAAGAACCATTGCAGAGGGGAAAATGAGGACAAAAACCTGTTAGAAGTAGATTGAATAGAGATTGGGAATATAGCAAATTGAAAAATTTTTGAGCAGTTTAGCTGTAGAGGGAAGCAAAGAATTAGCTAGAAGAGACAAGGATCATCTGGAGAAAGTTTTGTTTTATTTAGTGAAGTGTGCTCTTAAGGAATATGACAATAACATAGTAAGAATAATTCAATAATTCATAATGGGGCAGATTTAGTGGCATGGCCACGCCAGACATCAGTGGAACAGGAAAGGGGAAGGGCAGCAAATATTCATAAATAATTGAGTTTACCATAGATTGCTGCTCATCTTATTTCAATTCACCACTTTTTGGGGGGAGGGAGGTGCTGGGTACATGGTACGTGGTACATGTACATTGATGGCACATGACAAGTTAGGGTTCCCCAAGTCCCTCCCCTTCTTCATGGGGTCTGGGATGGAAACTGTTCAGAGGTCAGGAGATTCTCAATATGTTGGGGGATGAGTTAGGGCAAGAACTCCCAGCAGCTGAGGGCCTCCCTCTTCTTGTTCTGCTGGGACTAATGGTCCAGGGGGCTCTTACTCCTTGGAGGCCATGTGGATGATAATGTCCATCACCTGGTTGCTATAGCCAAATTCACTGTCATACTAGGAAATGAGCTAGACAAAGTGGTCTTGGAGACCAATGCCAACATCAAAGGTGGAAGAATGGGTGTCACTGTTATAGTCACAGGAGACAACCTGGTCCTCATTGTAGCCCAGGATGCCCTTGATGGGGCCCTCTGATGTTTGCTTCACCACTTCACCACCTTCTTGATGTCATCATATTTGGCAGCTTTCTCCAAGCAGTAGGTCAGATCCATGATTGACGTGTTGCAGGTGGAGACACAGAAGGCCATGCCAGTGAGTTTCTCATTCACTTCAGGGATGATCTTGCCTACAGCTTTGGCAGCACCAGTAGAAGCAGGGATGATGTTCTGGGTAGTCTCTCTCAATCATCATGCGGCAGCTTCTCAGAGAGTCCATCACAGTCTTCTGGGTGGCACTGATGGCATGGAGTCATGAATCATGAGTCCCTCCATGATGCCAAAGTTGTCAAGAATGACTTTAGGCAGAAGGGCCAAGCAGTTGGTGGCGCAGAAGGCATTGCTGACAGTCTTGAGGGGGTTGCCATACTTCTCATGGCTCATGCCCATTACAAATATGGAAGCATCAACAGGAGGGGCAGAGATGATGACCCTCTTGGCCCCACCCTTCAAGTGAGCTCCAGCCTTCCCCATGGTGGTGAAGACCCCAGTGGACTCCACAACATACTCAGCACCAGCATCACCCCATTTGATGGTGACAGGGTATCACTCCTGGAAGATAGAGATAGGTTTTCCATGGATGACAAGTTTCCTGTTCCCAGCCTTGACTGTACCATTGACTTTGCTGTGGGTAGAATCATACTGGAACATGTAGACAGTGCAGCTGAGGTGAATGAAGGGTCATTGATGGTGACAGTATCCACTTTGCCAGAGTTAAAAGCAGCCCTGGTGACCAGGTGCCCAGTAAAGCCAAATCCATTTATTATGATGTTCACCATTGTGTCTTAGGGACGCAGCTGGCACTGCACTCTAAGATGTAGCTGTCTGTCAAACAGGGAGGAGCAGAGAGCTTAGATTCACTACTTTAAAGATGGAAATGGTATTCAAAAAAATGAACTCTTGCTATTTGCAACAACGTGGATGGACCTAGAGGGTGTTGTGCTAAGTGAAATATCAGAGAAAGACAAATACTGTATGATTTCACTTCTACATGGAATCTAAAAAACAAAACAAAACAAACAAAAACCAGAAACAGAATCATAAGTACAGAGAACACACTGGTGGCTGCCAGAGGGGAGGGGGATGAGGGGATGGTTGAAATAGGTGAAGGAGATTACGAGGTACAAACTTCCAGTCATAAAATAAATAAGTCACAGAGATGAAAAGTACAGCATGGGGAATATCATTACTAATTTTGTAATTGCATTGTATGGTGACAGATGGTGACTACACTTACCATGATGAGCATTGCGTAATATTTGGAATTGTCAAATCACTGTGTTGTAACCTAAAACTAATTTTTTTAAAGTGAGTCGGGAGAGGAGATTCTGACCCTAATTGTAATGGCAAACACACATAGAGGATATATTGTATGCTGGGCTTTGTTTTAAGTGTTTTACACTTAATTCTCACAACTGTGCAGTGTCCTAAATCCAGAAATTTGGCAAATTATTGTATAGTTATGTGTTTCAAATAAAATAAAATGTCAAGATGCCTATACATTTTTTTTAATTATTTTTTACTTTGGCCAGTCTTGTTCACATTAGTTAGGAGGGAGTCTACTATACTAACATGGGTATTATTTGTGTGTGTGTGTGTGTGTATATATATATATACACACACGTACACACATATATATATTTATATTAACATGGACAATATCGTATATAAGTAGAAGAAAGTAAGATATAAAACAGTGTGTGTAGGGGTACCTGGGTGGTTCAGTCAGTTAAACGTCTGCCTTCAGCTTAGGTCACGATCCCACAGTCCTGGAATCGAACCCCACATCTGGCTCCCTGCTCTGCAAGAAGCCTGCTCTCCCACTCCCACTGCTTGTGTTCCCTCTCTTGCTGTCTCTTTCTCTGTCAAATAAATAAACAAAATCATTAAAAGAAAAAAAATAACAGTGTATGTAGTATGGTACATTTGAGTAAAAGGCATCTTTGGGTTTGTGCCTAAAAGTTGGTAACAATAGTTGTCTTTGGGGCGGGAGTTTCAACTCAATAAAATCTTTCCACAATTTCATTCACGTACTTACTAATAAGTAAATAATTTAACCTTTCTTTGATGATTTGGGTTCTTACAGTGCATCTAGGATACTTTTTGGCAATTTCTTCTTCAGAATAGATTAAAAATTAGCTTGTCTTCTTACCATTTCCCTTTTCCAGATTTAAGTTAAATTCTCAAACTTCTGACAATTTGGGGGATGAGGGTAGGGTAGCCATCCAAATAGTTGAATTTAGGATCATTAGAAATTTACTGTCAATATTTATTAAGCATGTAAATATGTAAATATCTACTTCAGGATTATTTTATATGTGTTTAATTTTAAATCTCTATTTTTTTAAAGATTTTATTCATTTTATTTGTCAGAGAGAGAGAGAGCACAAACGGGAGGCAGCAGGCAGAAGGAGAAGCAACCTCCCCACTCAGCAGGGAGCCCGATGTGGGTGGGACTTGATCCTAGGACCCTGGGATCATGACCTGAGCCTAAGGCAGACACTTAACCGACTGAGCCACCCAGTTGTTCCTAATTTTAAATCTTTAATCATATGATATCCTTATAGTGTTTTTTATCTTTCACAGGAATTGAAAGGTGGAAAAGCTTATGCAAAGGTAAGTAGATGTTTTTTAACTCTTTTGGAAATTGTAATATTATTCACTGCTACTTATAAGTTTAAAAATTAAATGGTTTGCTCTTCTAATTGCTATTCAGGTTGGCTGTTTTTATTTTTTTTTTTTGAGATTTTATTTATTTTAGAGAGTGCAAGTGGGGGAAAGAGCAGACTCCCCACTAAGCAGGGCTCCATCCCACAGCCCAGAGATCATGACCGGAGATGAAATTGAGAGTCAGATGCTTAACTGACTGAGCCACCCAGGCACCCCAAGTTGGCTGTTTTTAAATAAAGCAACTTGAAGATTGAAGAGTTGGATCCAGCAATAAATTATAGGCACATTCTTCCTAAAAACTGATTATAGGATGTTATTCTTACATTTCAGCTTCCCTACTAGAAGATGATCTCTGGTTTCCATTAAGTAATAGCATCTGTTAATACCGTCTCCCCTGGGAAGTGTTACTAATCCTGCCTCCCCTCACCCCTCAGTGGAATAGGACCTCTCCTCTTTGTTCTCTTAGCAGTCTGTAGTACATGATCACTACAATTCTTTATACTTCTACTAGCTATATGGAATTACTAATGATTTGTGTGCTCACCTTTTTGATGAATAGAAGGAATTAGTAATACTGCCGGAGACGTACATACTCCTCTTTTATTTTCATCTCTGATGGTATCTCTGTCGATTCAGTCATCTGCGCCAGGATACCAGCTTAACCATCAACTCTTAAGTCCTTAAAACTATGTGGTTGCAGTGTCAGTTAGGATGTTCTTTGCTACAAGTAACAGAATACCCTCTTCACCTAGAGGGGTTTTTTTGTTTTGTTTTGTTTTTAATTTCACAGAGCAAGTAGATATGAAACAGAGCTGCAGATGTGAGCTAGAGCTGCTCCAGTAGTAGTTAATCCACTGACTAAAGGATGTCATCAAGAACCCATGTTACTTTTCTCTTTTCATTCTTGCATTCACTGTGTCATGATTTTATCCTTGCCCAGCTCTTCTCATGATCACCAGGTGGGTTGAGTTTTAGTCCACACATTCACATACAACAAAATCCAGCTGAGTGAGGAAATCTCTGAGTGAGAAAACTTTTCCTAGTTGGCCCTCAGAAGATTTCCCCGTAACTTTCATTGGCTACAACTGGATGATATGGCCACTCCTAAACCAGGCATGGGTGGTAGGAATGGATTGCCATGGCTAGCTTAGACTCATCAATTTGACAATGAGCTAAAGGTTGGGCTACTTTCCTTTTGCACATGGATGAGCTAAGGGTGGACATTTGAATAAAATCAGGGCTCTGCTAACAAGGAATATAAGAACATTGGATGATGGTGGGGAGGCAAAAAACAGGTCTGCTGCAGTTGACAAATCCTGATTTCTCCCTTATTTAAAAACCATCCCTTCTCTCCATTCACAAGGCAGGTGCCTTAGGTTATGCCTTCATTATTTCTTACTTAAAACCTGCACTGGCCTCTTTTATTCTCTGCCTCTGTTGTCTCCCTCTATCCGTCCTCTATGTTATTGCCATATGATCATTCTGAAATTCAGACATGATCATTCCCCCACTTTTAGTCCTTCAGCAGCTATCTATTGCCTGTAAAGGAAAATGAGATGAAAAGTATTTAGCTAGCATTTAGACCCGTCTTGGACATCATCTGTACATGCTCACACTCACACTCACTTAATTCTTGTGCTTCAGACTTACTGCCCTCAGAAACCTCCTGGAATGTACTCTGCTCTTTTATGCTCTTTGCCTTGTGACTTGATATTTTCTCTGCCATGCATATGCTTCCCCCTTCCCTTGTCCTGTCAACTTATACAGCATTAAACATTCAGTTTAGTCATCCCTTCCCCTGAGAAATTTTCTTTTCCTTTCTGTCTTGTAACTGTGCCTTCTTCCATTCTAGCACTTAAACTTTTTTTTTTTTTTTTAATAAGAATGTGTTTTCTCGGGTGCCTGGGTGGCTCAGTGGGTTAAAGCCTCTGCCTTCGGCTCAGGTCATGATCTCAGGGTCCTGGGATCGAGCCCCACATCAGGCTCTCTGGTTGGCGGGGAGCCTGCTTCCCTTCCTCTCTCTGCCTGCCTCTCTGCCTGCTTGTGATCTCTGCCTGTCAAATAAATAAATAAAATCTTCAAAAAAAAAAAAAAAAAGAAAGAAAGAAAGAAAATGGGGATTGAACCTGAGTAGTAATGAGAGGAAGTAAGAGGATTGATCTAAACTTTTGGAGAGCAGCATAGAGTGTTGTTGTAGGGCACAGTTTTGGGGAAGGGGAAAAGGTTTCATAAGAAGGGATTTAGCTTAAGTGTGATCAGCAAAGCAAATGCTGTGGAATGTGGTGAAGGAGTAGGGGCTTATACTGAAGAAAACTTAAATCATTCTATTTCTTGCATGGAAAGTAAGAATTTAATAACCTGCAACTGTTTGCAGTCACCAGTGGTTAACTGGGCATGGAGCCAGAGCCAGAATAGGGAGAAGAAAGTCTGATCAGTTTTCTTTATGAATATGCAAATGATCATGATTGGTCTGCTACTATTTCCCACAGTGTGGGGTGAGTACCACTGCTCCTTGCAATGATTTTAATTGTTTGATAAACATCATTTCTACTTCAACAGTTACGTATTTCAGTGTGTACAGAAAAAAAATTTATTTAGCACATCAAATATGTGATTTGAGATCGAATTGCCTAAGACAAGATTAGAATACTTAACACATTTTTACAGAAGAAGCGAGTCAATCTAAAGACACACATTAAGCAAATAATAAAGCAGATACTGTTAAGATGGCCAAAATTGCAAATGACTGATTTTGAGAAAACTTGTCTAGAACATGGGTTGAATGTTTATTTTAAGGAGAATATGATAGAAGCCTAGTAGATATTCTATTAATATAATTCCCTTTCTTTTCATAGCTGGGCTTTGCAGATCTAAACCTGGCAGAGTTTGCTGGATCAGGAAATACCACTCGTCGCTGTTTACTGGAAGGCTATGATACCAAAAATACAAGACAGGATAATTCCATTCTTAAAGTAAGCACGTTTTGAGATTTACATGTCAACAAATGAGAATCTCCACCTTTAAATAAGCATAGGTATATACAGTCAAGGGCAAGATGGGATCGGCATGAGATCATAAGCTGACCACGCCACTGAAATACTCACCGTCTAGGGGAAAAGCTTCCCAAATCATAGAAGCAGTGAAAGTAACAAATGTTCACCTTCATGATCCAAGGTATTTCTGGAGCTATGAACGTTCAGGAAGTAGTACATGCAACTGCTACAGCGTAAGGGCTCATAGAGAGTAAGGAGCATGAGGAGTGAAGACCTTAAAAATGTCGCTCCCAAAGAGTGACTTCCCAAGCATCTGTGGTGCGTGCAGAGAAGTCACTGGGCTTTCCTATAACTAGTAAATGACAGGTGAAACTCACTTTAGGCTTCTGCCCTCTTGTTTCTAAGTACCATCAGCAGCCTCCTATTCTCGTTGGCCACAGAGGATAACATACACTTGAGAGAGTTGATGAGGGTATTAAATGAGACCAATTGAGAAAATGTTTATAAAGCACCTTGCACCTAGTAAGACTCACTGGACAAACTTTTTACTGTATTTTAGTTAGGTTACCCCATGATGGTAAGTTATCTAACATTAAAAAAGGAAAATAATTCAGAATAAAAACTGGATGGTCAGAAGTTAGTGGAGCAAAGAATTCCCCAACAACTACACTTTTCAAACTTCATTTTCAGTAAACAAAATTTCAGAGCAGTTGCATATACCTGTACGACATAAACAGTGATGGATAGGGTAGATTCCAGATGAAGAAGCTGAGTCTCAGGTTAAGTGTCTCACTAAAGTCATCGGTGGCAGAGCAGAGACCAGAATGCGTATCTTCTATCGTGTAGAGTCAGTGGTCTTTTCATGTTACCCTGCTGTCTAAGCACCAGACTCAGAAGGAACAGACTACACTGTTCAGTCTTAGACTCATCCCCAAACAAGCCACTAAATTCAGTTTCTTCATATTTGCCATATAAGAAGATTTATAATCCTTCTCTGAATTATAGTGTCTTCGTTGGAAATTGAAATAAGTTACTAATTTCAGACTCCACCATCCTAACCCCATTTCTTAGGGCCAGCTCCTGGAGTAGTTTCCTCTGGCTCCCCATTGACCCTTTCACACGATCTCTCCCATTTGGTCCTATAAAGAACTTGCCTTTTTTTTTTTTTTTTTTTTTTGAGTGCAAGAACACGCATGCACAAGTTGGGGTAGGCACAGAGAGAGAGAGAGAGAGAGAGAATGACTCTCAAGCAGACCCCACACTGAGCAGAGAGCCCGATGTGGGGCTCGATCTCACAACCCTGAGATCAAGACCTGAGCTAAATCCAAGAGTCAGACACTCAACTGACTGAGCCACCCAGGCACCTCATAACTTACTCTTCTATAAATCACACCATTTAACGCTCACACTCTCTCCCTGCCTGAGCTCTGTCATCTCCTGGCCACCTAGTTAACTTCTCTCTCCTGCTCGTTGATGACTTAGCTCTTGGCTCACAGATTCTCTTTCCATCCCTTCTGTCATCATGTTTTGGTGGCTTCACCATCTGGTGGGTGATCTGTCCTTGTGGACTGTCTTCACTATGCATTCTTTCCTTCGAGCTAATCTTTTTTGTGTGAGAGGCCTCTCTGTTCTTTAAACTACCCTTCTCCAGCATCCTTTTCTTTTTCTTCTTCTCAATTCCTTCCCCCATGGCCAAACTCTAGACTTTTCTATCTCTAGAAACTTCACCACTGGGGTATTCCCCTCTGCTACTTTTGTCTCTTACATTTCCAGTCCTCTTAGTCTACTGCTCACTTAGCTGTCCTTCACCTTACAGTTCTCCCCCTGTCTACCAGCCTCCACTTCCTTCCACTTCCCTCTTTATCCAGCTTAGATTCCAGAATCCATGATTCCCTTATGCTTAAAAACACTTGTGGGGCACCTGGGTGGCCCAGTCGCTTAAGCGTCTGCCTTCAGCTCAGGTCATGTTGCCAGGGTCCTGGGATCGAGCCCCATGTCAGGCTCTCTGCTCAGTGGGGAGCCTACTTCTCCCTCTCCCTCTGCTGCTCCCCCTGCTTGTGCTCTCTCTCTCTTTCTCTCAAATAAAAATACGTCTTACTCCTTTGCCCATCTCCCTCATCGCTCTCTCCCAGCGAATCCCTAACCCCAGTTAAACTCAACTTCAACTATCCTCTCTGGGCCTGCATCCTAATTTTCGAATGTTGCTGGAGAAGATCACACAACCATCCAGCTGCTGTTCCTACAGTCTTGCTCCCTGCCATCAAGCAACTCTCCTTCCTTTGTAAGCGTCCTTTCCCAGTTACCAAATACTCTATTTTATACCTTCTTTCTTCTCAGATCTCTACACACCACCCTTATTCTCAGCTAGTGGTCCTACTTTATCCTTTATGGAGAAAACAAGTCATTAGATTCAAATTCCTTCATCTTCCTGTTGCAGAATTTACAATTCTTCCTGTCTTTCCAGCCCTGTTATCCCTTCTGCCCCCATAACAATGAAGGAAATGTCCCTCTCCCTGTCCAAAGTCACTCCTTCCTCTTAAGTGCTAGAGTCCAAATCTTGCCTGATCAAGAGCTTTGCAGCTTGGACTATCCCTTTTCCTAACCATCTCTTTCTCCAGTGAATTATGCTCATTAACATATGAAGAAACAGCTCTCATATCTACTGTATTTAAAACAAATACCTCCTCCAACCGCTATCCCACTCTTTCTGTTCTCCTTCCCCACACAATATCTTACAAGCTGCATGTACCATCTCCATCCCTTCTGAGACATTCGGGATACTCAAGAGTGCTGTTTTTACATAGTTAGAAACCAGACTGTGGAGTTCTATGAAAGTGGAGGGGATAAGGATGCCCGCACAGCTGGCTCAGGTCCCACATTTAATAAGTGTAGCGCTCAGAAAAAGAACAGTAGTAGAGGTACAGAGGTGAAGAAATAAGAAAGAAATGAGGTTCTATGAGGATATATGTCAGCCACTAGGTAGAAAATATGCACATAAATAAATATTCTCTTCTTCATAAAGACCATGAGTTTCAGTATTATGCAGTCCTAGTTTGATATCTCAGATCTACCCTTTATTAGCTACCTGATAGTGAAAATATCACTTTGTCTCCTGAGCTTAAAAGGAAAGTATGAGTCTCTCACTGGAGTTTTGAACAGTAAATGAAATTATGCAACATACAACACTTAGCTTATGCCTGGCACACAATTCTCAAATCAAAATTGCTGTCAACATTGTTGTTATTCCTGCTATTACCATTATTTTTCCTGCAAGAACAAAACAAGATCCTACAGCCGAGTCTTAAGAGACCATCAGCAAGTAGAGAAAAGTAACATTTCAGAAAGCATTAATAAAACTTTAAATTCTGTTTTGTTTTTTTTTTTAAGATTTTTTAATTTATTGGACAGAGAGAGACACAGCAAGAGAGGGAACCACAAGCAGGGGGAGTGGGAGAGGGAGAAGCAGGCTTCCCGCTGAGCAGGGAGACTGATGCAGGGCTTGATCCCAGGAGTCTGGGATCATGAACTGAGCTGAAGGCAGACACTTAACCGACTGAGCCCACTTAACCAGATGCCCCTAAATTCTGTTCTAAAGATAGAGCAAAGGCCAGAAGCATTCTTCTCTCACAAGCCCCCACAAGCTCCCCTTGAAGCATCGACATGGCAGGTTGGAGGGAAACATTCCAGACACCGAAACACCATAGGAATCTGGGAGACCAGGGCGACCAGTGCACCCCCGCGGGGCATCACATTGTGGCACTTGCTCTCCCTTTCCACCTTTCTAGCACCGATTTTTGCCATTACCAAGTTTTGAATGTTGGAAAATGGTCTGTATAAACAAGCAGCAATTTAATACTGGATGTAACTCAATTCTGCAATTGCTTTATCAAATAATCTCTAAGTAGGAAATACTGGCCTAGGTTCTGTGGGGGAGGTGTGGGTTAGCAGAGCATGGCTTCTCTCAAGGGGACTTTTGTAATCATATTTCTTTTTCTAATACCCAGGTTTTGATCAGTATGCAGCTGATGTCTGGTGACCCGTGTTTTAAAACGTAAGTTGATTCTCAGTAAATGAATTATTTATCTGAAAGTATAATAGTGATTTTCTTTTGTTTAAATTTTTACATTCATGTATTGTATTGTTTACCCAGAAAGGGACCATTCTTTTCCAAGGAGACTGCCTGACCTACATAGAAATTACTATTAACCGTTTACCAAATGAGCTCCCCACACTCTAAATTTATTTAGGCTGTAGATCTTTCATCATCTTCAAGTTTTGGGTGAAACTATACAAATTAAGTTTTTTAATTTGATCTCTATGAACTTAGTCATGTCTTCAACAAATACTTGTTAAATGCCTTACCATGTGCTAGGCCCTATTCTAGACTCTAGAGAAACAGCAATGAGAAGAGAAAAAAAAAAAAAAAGACCGTCCCTGATATCTTGGAGCATATATTCTTAAGAGGAAAACAGTAATCTAAGAAATAAATGTATAATATAAAGATGGTGGAGAGTGTTTTGGAGAAAAATAATGCAGGGTAGGGGGCATGTGGGGAGAAAGGTTGCTGTTTTATAGAGAGAGTAGTCAAAAAAGAAAGTCTTCCCTGGCAGAGATGGTGTTTAAGCAGAGACCTGAAGGAGGGGGGAAGCACACCATGCAGATATTTGGGGAAAGAGCATTTGAAGTAGAGGAAACAGGGACAAAGGCCTCAGGGAGAAGTGTGTTTGGTATGTCCAACAGGCTGCTGGGAGACCAGTATGTCTAGAACAGAGAGAAGGGGGAGATGGGGGATAAGAAATGGGATCAGATAATAAAGAGTCTCCTTGGCTACTTATAACCTGAGATAAAAAGCTACTGGAGAGTTTAGAGTAGGGGACTAAAATTATCTGACTTACGGCTGCTAGGTAGAGAATAGACAATTTGTGGGAACAATGATGGGAGCAAGGTCAGAAATAGGTAGATGAGTTAGGAGGCTGTTCCAGTAGTCCAAGGTTTAGGGCCAGAGTAACTCATTTATTGAAAGGAGAGAGCCTCTGAGAGGCAAGGTTGGAGGTTGGGAGCTTAGGTGTTGGACATGTTATGTTGGAGATCCCTATTTAACAACCAGCCAGGCACCTCAAGTAGGCAGTTGGATATGGCACTACAGAGTTCGGTGGGGAGGCCCAGGCTAGAGATAGACATTTGGAAAACATGACGTCATCAGCACATAGATAGTAGTTAAAGCCATGAGATTTGATTAAATGACCCAGATGGAGTGAGCATAAATAAAGAAAAAGAACACAGACTGAGGGGTGGGACACCCCAGTGTGTTGGAGATGGGAGAGACGGGAAAGAACCAGCAAAGGAACAACTGTGAGAAAGGAGGAAGGAACCAAAGGAGAGGACTGGCCTGAAAACCAAGTGAAGGAGGTGTTTCAAAACGGAGAGATTAATCAGCTCTGTCCCACACCATGGATGTGGATCACGGAAGATGAGGACTGAGAATTGACCTTTGGATCTGCAGTACAGAGACCATTGGTGCCTTCAACAAGCACTTCAGTAGAATGCTATGAGCCTGCAGCCTTATTGGAGTGAGGTAAAGAAGGCTTGGGAAGAGAGAAATTGGAGAAAATATAAACAATTCTTATGAGGAATTTTGCTGCAAAAAAAAAAAAAAGGAACAGAAAATGGGGTTACAAATAAAATGAGGATACAGGGTCAAGGGCAGGTCTTTGGAGTGTTTTAAGATGGAAGATAGTTCAGGATATTTGTGTACTGATAGGAATGGTTCAATAGAGAAGGTGAGATATGGTACAGAAGAGCAAAAGGACTAGACAGTGTCCTTGGACTGTCAAGAGGAATGAAGGTAGAGAATAGGCTTCAGGTGCAGGTATATGAAAAGTGGAAGCAAATAGAACTTATTTTCAAATTGTTCCTGATTTCTTAGTGAAATAGGAAACAAGATGATCACTGAGGAGTGGGGATGGGAAAGACGGAGATGGGGGTTTGAGGAAAGATGTGCGGAAGTCCTCAGAGTGTAGGAGAGTGAACAGAATGGGAAGAGGTAGTAGGATTGCTCATTAGCAGTCCAGAAGACCAAAAAAAAAGTTAATTATATATTATTTGAATATCTGAGAAAAATATATTTAGAAAAGGAAACCTGAATTATTTCCCTGTGTATCAACTTCATGTTTTTAATAGTAACGTCCAGGGGCTTGTGAGTGGCTCAGTCAGTTGAGTGTCTGACTCTTGATTTCATCTCAGGTCATGATCTCAGGGAGGGGAGATCGAGCCCTGTATCAGGCTTTGCATTCAGGGGAGAGTCTGCTTGAGATTATCTCTCTCCCTCTCCCCCTGGCCCTCCCACCACACTCTCTCTCAATCTAAATTTCAAAAAAAATTTTCAATAGTGATGTCTATGTAGTTTTCTATTTACAGTGTTTTATAAAGATGAAAATACATATTTTTGTCCAAATCAGTTATTGATTAAACTATGCATTTTATTGTAACTTATCCTTCCTGTGTTGTCCTCTCTCAAACCTTAATTTCGTGGCTTATTTCTTTATATCCTGCTCTATTTGGACTAAACAATTTTTGCTATACTGTATTTGGCTTCTTAGGTAACAGTGTTTTTCTAGTGAATCAGCTTAGGGTGAAATAAGAAAATGAGCAGCAAAAGTAAGTAGAAGAAAAGGAATTCATCATTCCTTCTCATGAACTTATAAATATTCCCTTTCTGGCCCTTTCTCTAGCATTTTATCTATTTGTGCAACTGAAATACTAAAGAGCTAAAAAATAGATCATCTTATATTCTGTATTATCTCCAGGAATGTAAATCAGACAGTCTAGAGTTTCTATTTATAGAAAAAGATGTTTGTAACTCATTAGCATAAACAGACCTTACCTAATCCCAAGATCATAAAAGTATTTCTCAGGAAAATGAAACCCCCAATATTTATTTTCTCTTTTCTCTAAATATCTGAAATTGTACATGTGTCAGTGGAAAAAGGACAGCTCTAACACATCCATGCACTTGTACATGCTGAGTGTGGACTGAATAGGAAAGTGTTTAAATGATGTAAAAAGTAAATTATTTTTATTAGGTTGTATTTTAGTATATATCAGAAATATAAAATCACAGTGCTTTAGAGCTGAAAATAATGTTGGAAGTTGTCTAGTCCAGTGATTTTTTTTTTTTTTAGCCACAAAGTCCTTCTGCTCCAATGTATGATGAATCCCAGTATATAGCATTTTTCTATTGTGGGTCAAAAAGATATAATACCTTACTACCCCTGAAGTCTCTAAGGGAGCTTCACAGTTTTAAAAGTGTTATATAATCCAAGTTCTCATCTTACAGTTGAGAAAATTAAGGCACAAAGCAATTGAGTGACACGACTATTTGTCTGTAAAACCTAGATGTAAGTGACTAACTGCTGGGGAGGTTCATTCCACTATTTTCTCTGCTTTTGTCTGTCTGAATTTTTCATGAAAAAAAATTTTTAAGTTTTTTTAAAAAATTAAAAAAAAAAGTTTTTAGAAACCTAGTAGAGAAACTAACAAGAATACAGCAAATCTTTAACATTCTCAGCTTTAAATTCTAGCTTTGATATTTTATGAGCAGAGGATCTGTAATATGGCTTATATTATTTTTCTGAAAGACAAATTTCATACCATGAGTCTATATTTATGCATAAGACAGCTGGTAAGTCAGGCTCATAACTGTCTGCCCTAAACTCTCTTTTGTAGTCTCTGCAACTTATCAAATATCCACCAGCTCTAGTAAAAGAATGAAACTGGCTGAAAAGAAAGCAAACCACTAGTGCTAATAAAGACAAAGGATATTTTGGGAGAGAAATTCTGTGCTTCACTGGCACCTGACAACTTAGTGGGAAAGCAGATCAAGGGATGATGTAATCCTCTTGAGTAGCTGGGGCTCTGGAACATTCACATTCTGGGAGGAAGGAAATTACTATTTGTCAAAATGATTTAATGACTATTATTATTATCCCAGTTTAATTCTTGAAACAACTCTGATGCTTTTTCCATATTTTTAAAGTGAGGACCTTGGGGCGCCTGGGTGGCTCAGTGGCATCGGGCTCTCTCCTCTGCGGAGGGCCTGCTTCCTCCTCTCTCTCTGCCTGCCTCCCTGCCTGCTTGTGATCTCTCTCTCTGTCAATGAATAAATAAAATCTTTAAAAAAAAAAAAGAGGACCTTGAAGCTCAGAGGTCAAGAAACTAATTTGTCCAAGGTCCCAAGAGTCACTCATTTATTCAATACATGTGCATTGATTGTCTACCATGTGCTAACATTTACCAAACTAAATTAAGACCAGCCCCTGCTCTGAAGGATTCACTGTTTATTTGGGAGATGGACACAGGACATATGATGCTCTCAAGGCATAGAGGAGAGATAATCCCTAACTACTTTTTCTTAAAAACTAGGAAAGTTGGGGTGCCTGGGTGGTTCAGTCATTTGGGCTCAGGTCATGATCCCAGGGTCCCGGGAGTGAGCCCCACATTGGGCTTCCAGCTCAGCAAGGAGCCTGCTTCTCCCTCTCCCACTTCCCCTGCTTGTGTTTCCTCTCTCTCTGTCTCTCTTGTCTCTCTCTGTCAAATAAATAAATAAAATCTTAAAAAAAAAAAAAAAGCCAGGAAAGTCTTCACTGAGGGCAGGTGACACTGAGCTAATTTTTAGGGGATGAATAGGAAATTATGAAGCAGAGGAGATGGGTAAAGATGCTCTAGGAAAAGAAAATGGCTTGCACAAGTTTATGGTGCTGTTACAGGGCAGGAATACTAAGTAGGTAATATTGTCATTTTAGGTTATTTTTCACACACTGTAAACATTACTGTGAAATTAAAATCTCATCTCTTTCATTCTGTAATTGAGCTATATTACACAATATCTGATAAAGGGGTACAAAAACATTTTCAGAACAAAAAGGGGTAACAGAATAAAAACTGACACAAACTAAACAGTCAGTGATTATTTATTCAACATAGACTGAGTTGTCTAGGGAGACTTAGGAGAGCTGCCAGGGCCCAGCTAAGATTTTTAAATTTGCCTTAATATCATTCATTTCCCATGATTAATGAATTTTATCCATAATGCTTAGTTGCCCCAGTATTTGAGCAGTAAATGAAGAGAAGTAAAATTGTACAGGCTTGGGGCTCTTCAAGGTGCTTGAGACTGCAGAACAAGGGATGCCAAACTGAAGGTATTGCTAAAAGTGTCATGGCCCTGAAGTCAGGCTGGACTGGAAAGGGCAGAGATGAGAGAGGGCGAGAAAGGGAAGAGGCTACAGGCTGAGACCCCTGAGGGCTGGAGAATGGGTCTAAGAGGTGGAGGGATGGAGACATGTTCACAGGCACACTTCAGAAGGAATGGATAGAGGGAGGCTCTCGTGGTCATAATGTATAAAGAAGACCAAACTGAAGTAATTAGTGGAGGCTGACAAGATATGATAAATAGGAGAAATATGAGAGAGTCTGTGTGATTTGGAAATTGATTGGCTGTGGAGAAATGCGAGTAGGGAGGACCCACAGGCAGCATCTAGGATTCTGGTTTTGGTTACTTCATTGACCATGATGGCATTCGGAGTAGGGGAATACAAGAAGAAAGCAGATTTGGGAAAAGAAGATGGCTTTAGTTAGGGATATATATTGACGTCAGTGTACTTGCAGGACACATACTTGAAAATATCCCAACAGGGGGCACCTGGGTGGCTAAATCAGTTAACATCCAACTCTTGATTTGGGTTCATGTCATGATCTCAGGGTCCATAATCTGAGATCAAGCCCCATGTTGGGCTTGCTCTGAGTGTGGAACCTGTGTAAGATTCTCTCTCCCTCTGCCCCTCCCCCAGCCTCCACTCCCACCCCCATTCATGTTCTAGATAGATAGTTTTAAAAAGAAAATATCCCGCCAGGGTGTGCAATTTTGGAATTTAGGAGATCATAGGATAGAAATAATCTACAAATTAAATAGGTTAATGGCAATCTTAAATGTCTCTGTCTTCAAGGACCTGAATAGCCTGCAGATTCTATTGAGATAATTAGTAAGAATTAAAGAATTACCACATAGCATATGTACACATATAATATATACACATTTACACGTGACTACATGTATAGTTTTATATATACATATATGAACATATACACACAAATAACTACTACTTTGAAATGTACAATTTGTTTTATATTGCTTTACTTTTTTTGTTACTGTTACATCTACCTGGCTTAATGTTTTATATAAATTAAAAAGATAAATTCTGTAGATTTAGGCAGCTGAATGACAATTACTGAACTGCCATGAGACTATTAAACTGTGGTATATTTAATGCGTGGCATTCATGTGGCATTAGCACCCCTCCCCAAGATGTCTACATCCTAATCCCCAGAATTTGTGAATATGTTGGATTAAATGGCAAAGAAGAATAAGGTGGCAGGTGGAATTAAGGTACTAATCTGCTGGCCTCAGGGAGATTATTCTGGGTTCTCCAGATGGGCCCAATATAATCCTAAGGGCCCTTAAAGAGAAGAGATATAATCCAAGGGAAGAGACAATTGGAAGACAAATTTCACAAATGTGAAATACAGAACAGAGAAAGATGTAACTTTTCTGGCTTTGAAGACAAGAGGAAGGAGCCATGAGCTAAGGAATGCAGGTGGTCCCTGGAAACTGGAAAAGAGGGAACAGATTCACCCCCAAAGCCTCCAGGGAGGAGTGTGGTCCTGCCAACGCCTTGATTTTAGTCCAGTGGAACCTGTGTCAGACCTCTAACCTGCAGAAGTGTAAGATAATAAATTTGTGTTGGTCTCTAAGTGTGTGGTAATTTGTTACAGCAACAGAGATGACTAATATACTCAGGCTAACTAATTTTTGGTCATCTTGATTTTGGAAATACTTTTTTAGTTTATTTTAGTAATCCTTATTTTGGAGGTACTTTGCTAGTATGCTTTGAATTTCAATAAATACAAAATAACAGAAACGAGAATTGCCACATAGTAGGTCAGCTTCACAATTCCTGCAGCCACCTTTCTATTTTACCTCAGGTCAACAAGGCGTAGTCTCTAGGAAGATATGATTTTTTTTTTTAAACTATCAACCTCAATAGGTTAGGGAATGTTTTATGTAAAACAAACAAACAAACAAAAAGTTCTTGTTAGAACTCAAACTTGCCCCTCCATGCTACATAGCTTCCATAGGGAGATAGGAGCCTAGAATTGGCCAATGAAAATATATCCATGACCTGTCCCAGAGAATCCAGCCCAGAAAGCAAATCTAAACAACTGGAGTTCTTTACAGACTCCCCCCTGGGCTAGGTGAACTGTTTACAAAGAAGAAGGTAGAAGACAAAACCATTGAACCAGTTAGTAGAGCCGACAAGAGAGCTGGAGCAGGAGGCATGATACCACTCCCAACCTCAGATGCAGAGGCGCTTGATTCTCCATACGTCCCCATGTTGTCTCAGAGTTGACACCTGAAGCATCATGCACTGATGGTGCTGGGGACACGTGGACAGAGCTCCTCTCTCTTTCTCGGACTCCGTGAAGGCAGTGCCCTTTCTGGTCTCACATTCTCTGTTGATTAAAAATCCTTTTTTTCCCCCATGAATCTTTTTCCAGTTTTGAAGAAGCTCATACAGTATTTGTTGATTTATATTACGCTCACCCTCAACGAGGTAGCATTATGCAGGCACCTTACTAAGGCTGCATTTTGACTCCACAGCCAATCATTACCACTATCAAGTTTTCTGATTTACCCATCAATCAAGTTCTGATCCTTAGGAATATTTTTTTATAGGCCTCCTTCTACATCGATGTCTATACCAATTGCTGGTGAATCTGAATCTCTGGAAGAAGACAGAAAAGGTGGAGAGACTCTCAAAATCCATCTCGGAATAGCAGGTATGGGTGTGTGGCGTACTGGTTTTTTCATTTGTGCTACTTGACATCCTGAAAGATTCCCCAAGTCCCACGTCCCACCCGGACTTAAAATTCTATGGGTAGGGGCACTTGGGTGGCTCAGTGGATTAAGCCTCTGCCTTTGGCTCAGGTCGTGGTCTCAGGGTCCTGGGATCGATCCCCGCATCAGGCTCTCTGCTCCATGGGGAGTTCCCCCTCTCTCTCTGCGTGCCTCTCTGCCTACTTGGGATTTCTCTGTCAAATAAATAAATAAAATCTTTAAAACAAACACAAAAAAATTCTATGGGTAGATAGCTTGAAATGGGCCAATAATTATCAGCAGAGCTTTAATTATGGAGTTTTGGGTTAAGCCAATGCTTCATTTGTCTAAAACTTTAGGCACTGACAGATTAAGAGTTAAATGTTGCAGTGACACCCACTCCCACCCCCTCCCATCCCCCCACTGTGTACTTCTGCTCCCTGCAGGTGCAACCTGGAACCCTGGGAGTTTGCCCATTCCATGTGCCCAGCAATCTGCTAGCCACCTGTCAGGTGTTGCTCCTCCTCCCTGGATCGCTTTCCTCTGTCAATGGTTCCCAAACAGGAGTGTTCATCAGAGTCACCTGGTGGGCTTGTTAAACCTGCAGCCAGAGGTTTTGATTGGGTGGGTCAGGGCTGCGGGCTAAAAATTGCCTTATTGCCCTCCCCAGTGCTTCTCCAGGCAGACTCCCAGCTGTCCTCAGAATCTGCTCCAGGAGTTAAAAGCAGGGTGGGGAAAATGTTAAGCTGGTGGAAGAAAAAGGATTTAAGAGATTCCTTTCTTCCCTTCCTTTTGAGCGAGGTTATTATTTGAAAGAACGCAAAGAGAGGTGTAGTGATGAGATTAACATTTTCACCACCTTCATAGATGCTCAAAGAGAAGATTTCGGATCTCCTGATTTAGGATCAGTGAATCCTTTGCATACTTTTAACCTTTCTATTAGCTCCTTCTCTTCAGGATTTAAACTGAATTCTTTATTTTAAAAAGAAAAAAAGAAAAAAACCCTCACTGGCCCTACATCCTTTGTCTACTGCTCTTCTTTGTGCAGCTTCCCCTCCTCTGCTTTCCGCTCTTTTCCTTCCCTCTTTCACACCTTTTAGAGCCAAATTTCTAGAAAGAATATACTGTGCACATTTATTCCTAAATACATGTCCACCTGGCTTCTGTCTTCTGCCCTGTACTGATGATGGCTCTAGTAATATGACTGTCATTTCCTGTGGGCATTGTTTCTGCTCTCACCTGATTTGGCCATTACTCTTTCTTGAAGTCTTCTTTTCCCTTGGCTCCCACCTCCCTGACCTTTCCTTCTCCAGCTTCTTGGAGGCCTTTTCATCTTCTTCCACCTTCTTCCCACCGTCCCTGGGCAATATCCTTTACACCCCCGGGGATTTAGCTATCACATTCATGTAAATGTGATCATGTAAATATGAATCAAACACTTTAGTTTACAAATCTGTGTTGCCTTGAGACCTCCCCGCTAAACTCCAGGTGCACATTTCCAAATGCTTTCTGGGAAGGTCCACTTTCCATGTTCCCTGTTCTACTGAAATCCATCTGTTTGTTTTTCCTCAGCCAGACTCCAGGTTCTTCCAAATCAGGTTTTGTCTTTGTACCTCCAGCATAAGGCCAGGGGCACGGGAGCAATCTACTGCGCGGTGACCAGGCGTCCTCAGGCACCTCAGGCTCCCCACACCTGGCACATGTCTTCCCAACTCTTCCTCCTGCATATTCTATCTCACTTACCCGTGCACACTCATGTACTTGGCAATCAAGCCCTGCTAACCACCCCTCACTCTCAGCTGGGTGATTGTGGAAGCCTTCACTCCTCCATGACCTGTCCATCCTGTGGCGGGGTTGTAGATTTGGTCACATCACACCTGTGCTTAGAGCCATCGAATTATTTCCTTCTTTAAACGCATAGAAAGTCACTCACTACCAGGCATCTGTTCATCTCTTTTCCCTTCAGTCATCTCTGCCCAACTACCCAGTGTTCTGACTGTACCAAACAGTCTGTTCTCTGCACATGAGGCATGCTTTTTCCCCACAAGTCTTGCCAAAGAGTTCCTATATGAGATTAAAGATCTTGAGTTAGTTTCCTCTATGAGGTCTTGCCCCAACTACCTGATGTACTGGTCCTGTGAAGCTCTTAATAATGCTTTCTCAGTTCTTGCCACATTGCGTCATAACCACTTATCCCTCTAAACTCTGAGCATTTGGGGTGCCTGGGTGGCTCAGTCAGTTAAGTGTCTGCCTTTGGCTCAGGTCATGATCTCAGGGTCCTAGGATCAAGTCCTGCATCAGGCTCCCTGCCTGCTTCTCTCTCTCCCCACCTCCTGCACATTCTCTTTCTCTCAAATAAATGGATAAAATTATTTCTTAAATCTTTTTAAAAAAATAAATGAATGGGGGCACCTGGGTGTCTCAGATGGTTAAGCGTCTGCCTTCGGCTCAGGTCATGATCCCAGGGTCCTGGGATTGAGGCCCACATCAGGCTCCCTGCTCAGCGGAGAACCTGCTTGGCCCTCTCCCTCTGCTGCTCCCCCTGCTTGTGCTCTCTCACCACCTCTATCAAATAAATAAAATCTTTTAAAAAATGAATAAATAAACTCTGAGCATTTATTTTGTATCCCCTATATCTTATATACTACTGGGCACCTGACTTGGTAAGAGTTTAATAATTATTGAATGAATGCATTTTGAAAACCAGTAGATAAATGGATGAATTAAAATCTGAGATAACCCTCGGTGTAAAAGTTTAGTCCTGTATCATTCCTGATTCATGAACCACCACTTCGGGTTTCGATCTTGCTAGAGTTCACTTTTGTGTTTAGGACCACTGTAGAGCAGGCCCAGGGATGCTGATTTGGATTCCTATCTTATGGCCTGTCCAGAATTGAGAAACCTTTGCAGAAGGGCCAGGTCGCTCCAGGAGCTTCCTTGGTGGGCAGCATTTCTTAGTCCGGCTGCATCCAATACCATTTATAGAACTGCTGTGTAATTGCTGTATTACTTGGTTGGTTTCCTTTTGCCCTCTAAGTGAAAAACAGTTCTAGTTTCCAAATATTTCACGCTAATGAAAATGGCCACAGTTTTGCATTCTGAGGAGCTTCCTTCTGGAAATACATAATTGGCATCTGGAACATGCATATTATCAGGAACTGCTAGAAATGACAGTTGGTTTTTTGGTTTGGGGTTTTGTTTTTTGTTTGTTTGTTTTTTGTACATTTACTTTGAAACTGAATACTATAATCAATTCCTGAGAACTTTTATTCTCCCTGCTGCATTCCATGCTGTGTTGATTTAAACCACAGACATTTGCCCAAATTATAGCCTAGCACTAGCAACACTAACATTAAAATAACAGAGTGCTCTTTATTTTACTGCTGTGATAGATTTTTTGAGAGCAAGATTTCCTCAAAAAGCACACAAAAACCTGGCTTTTTTGTAAGTATAAGAATACATCCAACTCATTTTTATTAAAGAAATATTGAACATAAAAGCCAAAATGGTTTGGGGCACCTGGGTGGCTCAGTGGGTTAAGCCGCTGCCTTCGGCTCAGGTCATGATCTCAGGGTCCTGGGATCGAGTCCTACATTGGGCTCTCTGCTCAGCAGGGAGCCTGCTTCCCTCTCTCTCTCTCTCTCTGCCTGCCTCTCCGTCTACTTGTGATCTCTCTCTGTCAAATAAATAAATAAAATCCTAAAAAAAAAAAAAAAGCCAAAATGGTTTAAGATAGAATGCTGTTAAATCTTCTGGGAAAAAAAAACAAAACTGTATTTCTTCAATAAACTCAGGTATTTACATTTTTTTAATTTTTTGCAACAGAGTTGAACATCGTACCAGTTTTTAAAAGGGTCTCTTTCACTTTCTAACTAATTTTTTTGGTAATGAACTTGGCAGTTTATAAAATCTGCAGATGAGAATACAAATTGACCATTGACTTGTTGGCAGTCTTAGTAACATCGTGTTATGACATATTGCAGATCTTTCAGCAAAGAGTGCCTCTGTTCCAGATGAACTTGGTGCCTGTGGACATTCTAGAACATCAAGCTATGCAAGCCAGCAGTCAAAAGTATCAGGTAGAGGGGCGCCTGGGTGGCTCAGTGGGTTAAGCCGCTGCCTTCGGCTCAGGTCATGATCTCAGGGTCCTGGGATCGAGTCCCGCATCGGGCTCTCTGCTCAGCAGGGAGCCTGCTTCCCTCTCTCTCTCTCTCTGCCTGCCTCTCCATCTACTTGTGATCTCTGTCTGTCAAATAAATAAATAAAATCTTAAAAAAAAAAAAAAAAAAGTATCAGGTAGAGCCTAACAGTGAGGCTGAATTCCCTTAGACATTTATTGCTCTAAGGGATTACTTGGAATTGCTGTGGTATGGGAGAAGAATGCCTGATTGCAGTGTATTTGATACTCGTATTTTATCCAAAGTGCTTTTCTCTGACAGGGTATAGCTCCTGCCACTCCCGGTCATCCAGTTTCTCGGAGCTCTGCCACAGGAGAAACACCTCAGTGGGAAGCACGTCAACAGGCATCGAAAGCATTCTAGAGCCCTGTGATGAAATTGAGCCAAAAACAGCCGAACCAAACCTTGATCTAGTCGGCAAAGAAGATACGGCTTCAGACCTGCTCACAAGGTATGCTTTCAGTTTGTATTTAAATGGAGAGAAAAAACAACTTTATTTTCATAACATAAGAAGAAGGAGGAGAAAATTTTTTAAAAAATTTTTCTAGATGCCCAGTGAAGCAAGATTCTGTAGAATCTCAACTGAAGCGAGTAGATGACACCAGAGTGGATGCGGATGATATTGTGGAGAAAATACTTCAGAGTCAAGACTTCAGCCTAGATTCCAGTGCGGAAGGTGGGTGGATAACATTAAATGTGCATAGATGTCTGCAACCCAGGTTTGTGTGGTCTGCGTGCCCAACAGGAAAGGGACCCTACATCACACTGTTGCATGCTGGTAAAGTAAATTTCATTGCCCATGAAAATCCGAAGATGACTTTGTAGCTCATGTATTTCCAGGAATGGATATTAAATTGGGAAAAGAATGAACTTTAGTTTAAAAACACCAATTTTAAAGAAAGGTTTTATTGTGTATGCCTCAACGTCCACCATATTTACATACCTTATGACAGATGTCTCACCTGTTTTGACATAACTGGACACAGATACTTCACATCACTGTGTAATTTGGAGAGTTGGGTGGTGATCTTGAGATGAGAGTGAATAACAGAATCTTTTATTCCTTCTGAGGAATTTACATGCCATCAGTTTGAAAGGTGTAATTATTCATGCTGGTGTGAATAGAGAGCAGTTAACAATGGACTTAGTTTCACCGTGTAACTGGTTGTAAAGAGAAATAATTAAACCTTACTTGTAGAAATTTATAGGAAGAGATGTCTTCTTTACTCAGTTTTAAAGAAAAATAGCTTTAGGGAAGTTGATGAGAAATAACTACAATATCTTCTAGATTGCCTATTTGAGAACATGCATGTAGCTAAGTTTTTTATTTCTTTAATAAAACTGAAATGTAAAATATGAATTGAGTACAAGAGGAATATTGTTTGACAATAATCTGATAAATGTCCCTATAACAAATATTTAAATGTGAATTGCAGAAGAAGGCCTGAGGTTATTTGTGGGACCTGGGGGAAGTACAACCTTTGGCAGCCATCATCTTCCAAACAGGTATGTAGTCTGCCTTTTTCTTTTAAATGTTCTTGAGTGGAAGATGAAGGGTACAAACTTTGTATGAGACTGAGGCTAGAAAACACATACAGTGCTTCCGTGTAGAATTACAGCTCTGAGTTTTCCTTATCTTGAGTATGTTTGAAATTATATTTTATAAGTTTGTTGATTTTCTTAAATGTGTTTTTAGAATGTATTAGTAGAGGACCAGAAGAACATGGGGCAAGATGCAATGAAAAGGGATGTTTAGGGACCCCTGAATGGCTCAATTGTTGAGTGTCTTCCTTCAGCTCAGGTCATGATCCCAGGGTTCTGAGATCAAGTCCCGTTTTGGGCTCTCTGCTCAGCAGGGAGTCTGTTTCTGCCTCTCCCGCTGCTTGTGTGCATTCTCACTCTCAAATAAATAAATAAAATCTCTTAAAAAAAAAAAAAAGGATGTTTAGGGAAGAGTTCTTAGGGGACGGCTGGGTTGCTCAGTTGGTTAAGCATCTGCCTGCCTTCAGCTCAAGTCATGATCTCAGGGACCTGGAATAGAGCCCTATATCAGGCTCCCTACTCAGTGGGGAGTCTGCTGCTCCCTCTGCTTGTGCACTCATTCTCTCTCTCTCTGACAAATCAGTCCTTTGGGAAAAAAAAAGAAGAGTTCTTAATCTGATATTTTAGAAAGAGCAAAGCAGAATTACATTCCAGTCAGTGATCTTCTCTATCGTGAGCAGTTACACGGCCACTCACAGCATACATTTGGTATTAACCTTTTTTGTACTCCCCTCTTCTCCACCGTACCAGAGTCTAACATACATTCTAAAAACAGTTGTGAAAGACCAAACATCATTTTGAGAGTTAATCAGATTCAAATGAAGAAAAGGCACCTGCCAGACTTCCCATTCTGATACCTAGCCCTGCAGCAAATTGTTGTGAGCACTGATGCTCAGAACACTTGAGGAATTCTGATCTCTGCCCTGATGTGCAGCCCGGTACTCAGTCTTTCCACATAATATCTATGGAGAGTTCCAGAATAAGTCAGCGTTGGGTTAGGGAGCACCCTTGGTCAGAGACAGTTATTTTATTCTCTAATGCTCAAAACCTGAAGGAATGTCTCATTCACCAGTACTCTCATTCCAGCAGTACTTGTCTTGTTCAGTACCTCCTATGTGTCCAGCATCTTGCAGGGTCCAAAAGATATGAAGGATACAGTAAATACCTAAAATCAGATGTGATAGTTAGGTAAGAAGGAGACTATGAGGGAATAGTTCATTTGAAACTGGGGTTTTTAGAGGATGTAAGCACAATTTATAGTTTTCATTCCCTCTCGCTGACTTACTATTCATTAAATTTAGTAACTACGTATTAGGCCAAGTCATGGGTAAGGATGCAAAAGCAGAAAGACCCAGCTCACCCTCAGCTAGCTCATGTTCTGAGCATATGGGGCTGGCAAATTACAGCCTATGAGCCAAGTAGGTCCACTGCCTGTTTTTGCAGAAATAGTTTTATTGGAATACAGCAACACTTATTTATGTATTATCTATGGCTGCTTTGATGCTCCAGTAGCAGAACTGAGTAGTATGGAGAGATCACAATGGCCCTCGAAGCCTAAAATATTTATTATCTGACTCTTTCTAGCAGGTGAGATAGACAAACTAAAATTTATAGCAGTATAATAAATACTATAATATAGAGAAGTAGAGGAAACAGACCAGAGATGGGACCACACTCACACAGAGAAAACTTCCTAGGAAGTTGACACCTGAAGAGAGTCTTGGGAGAATTAAAAAGTAAGTGGGGGGTAAACAGGTGGATATGAGGAAGTCAAATTTTCCTGGTAATAGGTTCAAATAGAAGGAACTTATAGGCATAATAATCACAATATCTAATTACATAATAGTAAATATGTAATAATTATCAATAACACTTATGGAGCATTATTTGTTTTATGCCAGGCACATATATATGTTTCATTCAGTTCTTGCATTATCTCTTTTAGTACTCACAAAGTACTATTATTAGTTTTTAAAAAGAGAAAACAAAGAGGTTAAGTTAAAGGAATTTTCCCAAAGCCTTAAAACTAATAATAAAACGAAGATTCAGACTCTTGTCTCTTTGAGTCCAGACATGTTCATGGTAGCTCACCGTATTCCTAGCTGGCTTGTGACTAATGTAACCTACTCAGGGACTTGCCAGGGAACAGGTACTTCTGAGGAGGGGGCATGCGAAGGGAGCTGTGGAACATGGGGTTGGCAACAATCTCAAAGCCAGGTTGTAAATGGCCTTTGTCACCATCACAAAGAGTTTATTCTCCTTTTTTATCATATGTACAGTTTGATCATTCTTTGCAGAAGAGTGATCTATCAGATGGGCATTTTAGAAAACTAGCCATAATTTGTAGTGGGAGAGGGGGTGGGGAAGGGAGACAGGAGCAAGGAGAGACTAGTAGCAAAGAACAGGTAGAAAAATAACATTTATGAGGACAGTGATAAGTACGGTAGAGAAACACGTGTTTTTGAGTTAAAGAGTTTAGGTTCATATCCTAGCCAGACCACTTTTGGGGCCTCAGTAAATCTTTTAACTTCAATGGAATTTTAGTTACCCCTCTTGAAAAGTGGGGATAATCATGAGATTGATTTAAAGAGTAAATGACATAATATACTCAGTAAGCTCTAGCAATTATTAATTTAGGTAGAAGAATAGCAAATAATACAGCTCCAGCCAAAAGGAACCAAAATAATAAATGCCCAGATAGATCTCTTCTCTAATTTCTGACTGCTCAGGGTCCCAGTCAGACTTCCACCCCTATCTGCTTTACTGATGTTATTAACCTCTGCAAGGCTTATTTTCCTCATCTGAAAAATGGGAGTGATAAATATTACCTAACTCACAGGATTTTGCTGAGGATTAAATTAGATAACTTATGTAAAGTATTTAACACAGTGCGTAACACATGGACAGCTCTCAGTATATGCTAGTTGTGTATGTTATTGTTATTCAGAGGAAAGAAAAATAATTTCTATGAGAGATAATCTAGGATCTAGGCTATAAAGGCATTCATAATACTGGGTCCTACCCCCTTTCCAAATGAATGTTAGTAGAATCATCACCCAATGCCTGAATGCCTAAGACGATAATTAGGGGTTGAAGTAGACAATATCACATGCCACAGAAAGACTGAGGAATGTTGGAGACAGTGTATTATGGTGAAAAGAGAATGGGCCATGCATTCAGACATAGGTTTCATTCCTGGTTTAGCTGTCATGACCCAGCTTGGCTATAATCCTAACAAATTACATCTCTTACTTGCCACCAAAAAGACATATCATTGGGGTTAACGACACAGGGTCTGGAGTTGGGCTTTCTGGGTTCAGTCCCAAGCTCCACCGAGTATCAGCCATGCATCTTCAGTAAGTTACCCCATTTCTCCCTGTCTCTTCACCTACAAACTAGTGACAATAACAGAACCTACCTCATAAGAGTTATAAGGCTAAATGAAGTGAGGTAAAACATGTAAATGACTAAAAAAAAACTGGTATGCAGTAAACACTCAAGTACTATTATGCACAATTGAAGTTCTCTCTTGCAGAGTTGCTGGGAAATGCCCAGCACAATACTTGTATAGGTAGGCTGTCCATCACTAGCTGGTGTGTATCAGAGCAACGAATGCGCTGGCATTCAGTCTGTTCTGAGAGAGAAACTGGCAGCGCAAGATGGACCTAGAATCATTTACTCAAGTCACTGAAGAGGTATGAGAACCATGCATACCTAGTTAGGAAAGTGAGCCCTTGAGAATGAAGAGAACGGAGCAAAAACAATGGAGATGTAGGAGGAATATCCCCAGTAATACCTTGAAGCCTGTGGATGCAGCCTGACCAGCTCAGGGATACCTACAGACGTTGCAGGGTTTCATCTCCTTGCTTGCCTCTGAGACATTTAGTTGCTGACAAAAAGTCTGCTTTCAGTTGGTTCTGTTCCTCGATGTGATTGATCTTTCGTCTCTGACCATTTTTAAGATTTTATCACTGGTTCTTAGCAGTTTGGTTATGATGCGCCTTGGTGCGTTTTTCTTGTGTTTATTCTGCTTGGGGTTCATTGAGCTTATGCATCTGTGGTTTACAGTTTTCCTCAAGTTTGGAAGTTCTCCAGCCATTATTTTTACCTGCCCCTCCTTCTGTTATCCTCACCTACAGATTCTAGCCCCCAGCCTCCCCGAACTCTGACCCCTGACCCCTGCTCTGAGAAAGACCACTTGCTTGTGTTTGGGTTCTCCCTGCACTGCATGCTGGAAGGACCCTGAAGGAAACCGCTCTGGGCTTTCTTCACTGAGTTCCATTCTCTTAGGACCAGTCCTGTACTGCCTATTGTCCAGTGTGTGAAACTATTGTTTTACATGTGCTGTAAAAAATTTTCTAGTTATTTAAAGCAGGAGGGAAAGTCTGATTCCTGTTACTCCATCATTGCCAGAGTACAACCATTTTAGGGCCTCTGAAAGCCAGTGTGCAGGGGCGGCACTCAGCAAGGTCCCTTCAAATTCTGAATTTCTTTAGCTGTGAATGTTCACTGGTGTTCTATTGAGAATGTTCCTGTTTCTTCTGCAGAATGAATCTATAAGAAGAAGACCTCTGAGCGGTCAACTGGAAAGTCCAATTCAGTCCACAGTGGGCTGGTAACCAGTACCTCTCTCCCATTGTTTAGAATTTCCTCTTAAAATTCCATATGGGAAGAGACCAGTCATGGTGGTTGCTTCTGGTCTTACTGATCTCAGGCATACTCAGAGTGAAATGGTCAGGTAGTGTAGCCCCTGGTATCTTGACAGAGGAGATGGGTACTGGTGATAACTTTAAGCAATAATACCGTCCCCTCCATGCAACAGCGCCTCTTCAGCTCCCCTCCTGTTTACTTAGGAGGGCTCAAAGTTCCTCACCTAAAAATAAACTGAGCTGCCATCAAAAAGACCCTGCTTTTATGGGCTTGTAGAAAACCTCTATCCTCCCAGATGAAGAAACAATAGAAGGAGCATGTGTGTTCATTCCATTATAACACAGGGCCAAGATACTAGGTGCATCAGCAATAAAAAACCTTCTGTTGATGAGGCCATTATTTCATTTAAATACTTGTTTTAGTCACAAAGCTTGCAAGTTTTAAGTTTTTAGCATTCTCCACATTTCATTCATAGAGATCAGTCAGTACCTGGAAGATCAGGGCAAAGGCTAAGCTGCTATAGCAAAGATAACCAGAAATACAATGGCCAGGCTGATGAGACTGCTAGGCCTCAAAAAGTGATTCAGGGACCCAAGTCCCCTCTGTTTTGCCCTTCATCATCATCCCTACCTGTTGTCAAACTTGGATGGCTACTGGTCCAGAGCAAGCAATTTCTCTTTATGAGACAGAAGTTGACACATCCCCACTCATGTTCCATGGAGGGAGGAACTGAGTCTCATGCCAATACCTGTCAACATAGGAGTTTAGGAAATGTGGCCTCTAGCTGAGATGTCTATACAGCCTGTAGCTAGAACCATGAAGGAGAGGATAGAGTTAGGGGGACAACTAGCAGTATGCCAAGCCAAGGTAATGAAGAAATAAACCCCTCTTCCAGATCACTTCATTTTAGGGGCACCTGGGTGGCTCAGTCGGTTGAACATCCAACTTTTGATTTTGTCTCAGGTCATGATCTCAAGGTTGTGGAATCAAACCTCTGTGCTCAAGAGGAAGTCTGCTTCTTTGTCCCTCTTTCTCTCCCCACCCTTTTCCCTCCGCCTCTCCCCCTGCTCTCCTGCACTCTAATAAATAAATAAACAAATAATTCTTTTTAAAAAAATCATTTCACTCTAAATCCGTATTACACTGGTACAGTCTACATCACTGACCACATATAAAGACATCAGCATGGGGCACCTGGCGGACTCATTAGCTTAAGTGTCTGCCTTCAGCTCAGGTCATGATGTCAGGGTCCTGGGATCAAGACCCACATTGGGCTCCCTGCTCAGTGGGAAGTCTGTGTCTCCCTCTGCCTCTCCCCCTGCTTGTGCTTGCTTTCTCTCAAATAAATGAAATCTTTAAAAAAAAAAAAAAAAAAGGAAAATAAAAACATTAGCATGTTAACTAAAAGAATTCCTGCATTTTCTAGAAAGGTACATTAAGACACCACACACTAGAAACAGTCACCTGTTAACTCTGCAAGGCCTGGGTAAATTGCCAGTCAGTATATACTCTTGGATAAGACTGATTTATATATATATATATACACGTGTGTGTGTATGTGTGTGTGTGTGTGTGTGTATATATATATATATATATATATAAACATTTTTCAAGAAGAAATTTCTTGGCACAGGTTAAGATTTAGGAATAATACTAGATTACCACAGGAATAAGTGTGACTAGACCATTCCAATGTACTGATGATAAACATTTACTATTTCAAGTACTCTCTAACTGTGATCTCTTTAAACTGTGTGGAAATCAAATCTAGTAGAAAATGCCTAGTGCACTGTTTCTATGAGGGCAAGGTTCACTGGAACAGTTTTAAGCATCATAGCTCAAGACCTTGAAGTGGTTTTTTTCTCCCCTCCTGTCGTAGAGTCGGGTCTGGAGCTTATGAGCAAGTCGTGATCAAACGCTAGCAGTCAGACTCCTGAACTGGAGCTTCCCTGGGGCTCTGAGACATGGGCAGTCAAGCTGTCGAGGCACCTCATTCAAGCACGTTCCTCTGTTAAGATGAAAGCCATCACCGATTTCTTCTCGGAAAGTGCCCACCACCATCCTGTCCCACCCACCGAAAGGGAACATCAGAACTGGAGCACCCACGGGCTGGGCAACGTGTCGCTAGTGGCACACGGCTTTTGCGGTCACTGCACAGGATAATGAAAGGCCTGCTTTTCCTTTCAGAACAGCCGGGTGGGGAAAGCAGCGCTATACACCCGAGTATACCGAGTTCTGTATGACGTATAAAACCTGCAGCAGAGGTGTTCAACAGGTTTGGGCTCTAATTATATCATTTTAATGTTCCGGGAGGTAATAAGTGAATCATCTGAATCCTATAAATTCTGTCAAAATAGTTATAATCTCTTAAGGAAATCTTCCATGTTCTATCCTGCCTACAGTATTGTACTGCTTATTAACTCTTCTTGATTGAATCATTGATATAAAGTTTGGGTGTTCGTGTGTGGGGGAAAATGTTATACTACAACTTAAACGTGTAGAGTGCTTAATTCTCACTGTATCCGTCACAAATGGAGTGTGTTTAAGTCTGAGATATGTGAATGAGTGTAATGCCATTATTATGCAACACATATTGTTACTAGTTAATGTTAGATGAGCTGCAGAACTCCTACTAGCACTATAGTTGAGATTCAAGGTAAGTTTCACATTTAATAGGTTAGGCTCCCCTAAAGCACCTTAAGAGCTGTTCTAACTGAATACTATCTGCTGGTTTCAGGGTCAGAATTCAGGACAGGAGGAAAATTGTAGCATGGTCAGAAACAGTGGCCTTTTCTGTATTAAGTTCAGACTTATATCTGAAACTGAAAATTATTCTAAGGAGGTGGCAGATAAAACCGGGGACAGCTGCTTGACATTACTGACATGGACTCGTGGTTTCCTATTTTAAACTCCCCGCCGGGGGATACTATGGTTTTTTTCTTTACTGTAACAGTAGTTGTTTTGAGACAGTAGGCTATGACATAATCCAATATAGATTTAAAAGTAAGAATATCTGCTCTGGATGCAGTTTAACAAGCTCAGCAGGCAGACCATCTTTTTTATCAGATGGGAAGTTTTTCTGGTCTTAAATAACAAGTTTTAATGTTCTTGGAGTCACTCAGTCACTGAAGAAAAGTGCAGATTCTCTAGAACCAGTAATTCCCAGTCCTTCCTTTCAAAACCGTGTCCAGAAAAAAACACGATACGTTAGAATAACTTTGGCCTAGGTGAACCATTTTTGTGTTGGCAAAGTAAGGGGAAAATATATTAAGAAAATTATTTCAATGTCCAAATGTAGAGCTTTGGAAAATTTTGAGTAGTTCCTGTTAGGGTTTTAGGTTTTTTAACATTTCAAGGATTAGGTATTCTACATAAATCCATTTCTAATACAAACAGATATTTTTTAAAAGGTGAAACCCCATGTTGGAATCTTTTGAATGTTGAGAGAGAGCTTGAGTCATTAGTAATACTTTTGTTATTTTGGCAGGAAGAAAATTGACCTGACCATTTTAGTCTAACCAAGGAAACGGTTGGCTTAAGCGGTAAAGATTTGTTCTCTGTGATTAACAAATGAGCTGATCCATCCATATATATTATTGGGGGGAACTCAAAGTTTTAATAGAGATATGAAACTAGTGTTTACAAATATTTATGACATGTTTTAAAACATATTTTTCTATTTTTAAAATATTACTTCTTAGGCTGTATTTTTTATTGGCACTTATGCAAATAATTTTGCCATTTTGAAAATGATAAAAACTATTGACTGTAAGTGAGGTTCAGTGAGGACATTCTTCAGTATGTAAAAGGTCCTGTAATTCAGACATTGCCCATCTTCTCCTTGCCTGCCCTCGGCCTGATACCTTTATACAAGACTGGCTCTCAGTATTTAAAACGATATAGAATTATTTTTAAAAAACAAAATGTGGAGATCTTGAAAAACATAAAAATCTTGCCTCTGTAATTTTAGCAGCCACCAGATACATCTTGATTTATGTAGTAGAAAATAATTTTAATAGAAACATTGATGAGGGAAAAGTCAGCATAAGTCTGGATTCATTTTTTGTGTGGCATTGGTGGGCATACTTTGCAATCACATTTATTTGCAGTTCTCTGGAAATATTTGTTAAAATTTGCTTAAATGTCTGCCTTACTTATCCGTTTTTTCTTAGAGCATGTACTGTGTAGCTATATTTTGACAATGTAGCTATTTTTAAAAATTGCTTTTTAAATACCAAGTATACTTTTGGTTCCATTTGGAGTTGAGAAAATTTTGGATTCGAAAAATTAGATCTTAATATTGGTCTTTAAATATTAAAGTCAAATTTCAGATCACCCAGTCTTAGAGAATTTGCAAATCTATAACATTGTCTTTGTCTAATTCTATCCTAGAGAAGGATTAATGGTATATTAAAGTTATTTATTTGTGGTCCGATAAGGAAGTTTCAAATCTTCTGTTTGGGGGAAATACAGAGGCCGGTCAGAAGCCCACTTCCTGTGACTGGAGCTGGTAACTGAGACCAGAGGATATCCGGAGTAGCGTGGGCAAAGCAGCCCTGGGCCATCAGTTCGCATTTTGATGGTTGACTCCCCTTTGTGGTGTGGAAGGCTTCCATATTCAGCAACTGTAGTGGAATAGTACTTATCTGAGAAAGTCTTGACAAAGAATCCCAAGGTCCACCACTTAGCCTGTTTGTTACTAAAAGGAAAACAAATCTTCGGCTAACCTCCAACCAAAGCATAAGACATCCAGAAGTGAGTTTAGTAATTTTAGACTGAGACTGCCACGTCAACTAGACTACACTTTGCAAACTCAAGCTAACAGTATTAAGTATTTAAGTACTCTGAGGTGTCAGGCTACTTTGAGACTTTAATAATGCTTAAAAGGCCTATATGATGGGCTTGCATTTTATTTTAACAGGTCTAACTGGGACTGTTCAGAAATTACACTCAGCCATTTCTCTTAGATGGTACATCATGTGAATATATTCAAGTACTATAATTGAAATTATTAATGCCCGTGTCTGTGTTGGCTTAGGTACTATGCATAACTTTAATAGCTGAGATGTTTAAAAATATAAAGTCTAAAAATATAAAGGATGAAGTAAGTTTAAAGCCTACTCTGGAAATTAAGGCCTTATTACCTTATATACATGATTTTTCCTAAGAGAATATATACACAGTGTATTTTAAATAGTGATGTGAGTGGTCTCTAGCTACTCCTTCTATGACAAGGCTGGCAAATTTTTACTATTTACGACAATGTAGTCTGCATTTACAAATGTTTACGTTCATCATATATATATAAAACAAAATTCTCTGATATTCATTGACCAAATCCCATGCAGAGGAATACTTAGGATATATTGTTTGATTGTTTTTTGGAAATACATCTTATTCTGGAAGTTGATACAACTTGTGGGTAATCATGTAAATGTTTATGAAAAAAAATTGTCATGGAAGTGATTCCATTAGTATTGTTCTAATACTTGGAAAATGACCTTCATATTTATATATTTGTTTTACTGTACAAATTATAAATCCCAGAAATTTTTTTTTACAAAAAAATTTATTGTATTTGTAATAATGTAAAGGTGAATCTTATACCTGTTCAATAAAAATCATCTTAAACTTTATAATGTGTATACTTTAAAATGTTAGTTTAAGGTTCTGTCAGAAATCGGTCAGATTCTCTCCAAGGTAAGAAAAGAGAAGTGAAAGGATCCCTCTAACTTCTTCCTCACAGTTTCCCCTCATTACTGGGTGGTGTAACACAGTCTTAAATCCTCCAGTGAAAGACCCTTCTTTTGAACTCTGAGTTTCACCCTCCAGTGGTGGGAGGAACATGGGCTCTAGAGTCAGACCTGAGTCTGAATTCAGGCTCCCTTCTGAACCTGTTTCTAATTGAGGATGGAGATACTACTAATTCTTCTGGGTTAAGCACAAGCACCCATGAACTATTAGGAATGTAGCACGGTAAGCACTCCTCCGTCGAGCCAGAATTTGCCTTTGTGCAGCACCTGCATACATAATACCTTCATTCTAGTGTTAGACACAGAGAAGATGGTCAACAAATATGCCACTATTAAAGGGTAAGATCCTCATGTAACTGATGCTCAGTGCCACCACTGTCCAGGCTCTTCCTTCCTTTGACTAGGTCCTCACAGAGGAACAACAGTGCCGGCACATTCCTTCTGCTGGTAACTACAATTACAATAGCAATGTAAAGAACCATGGTTCAGTATGGGTTTGAGCCCACATCTCTCTGCAGATTGCCACGGCTTTCCTGGACAGTGCAGATAATGAAAGATGGTGTGCGCTAAGCAGAAAGACCCTGTAGGATGGGGATAACGTCGTGTCAGGTCACAGCAGAAGCCAGCAGGGCCCTCAGATCTACCCTTATGCTCCCTTCCCCACATCTCAGGCATGGAGTTCCCAGGCTCAGTCTTGTGACTTACCCTTCCTCAACACCCAGTGTTTTCTCTCCCACCCTCCCTCTCTCCTACTTCCCTCACCACATTTTGCTCCTTCATTCCTGTACCTATATATCACATGCCTGGTATGGACAAATCTTTCTTTACATCTGCATGATAAGAAATATTTGGTGGACTTAATTAATCCATCCCACATTACAAGAGTTTAGGAAGCAAACCGAAAAGGCTTCATTTGAACATTGCCTGAGTTGACATCTATTCCATATGGCCCACGTGACAAGGAAACGTTAGAAATTTTCCTGCCTGAATTTAGACCCCATTCCTATGCACTTGATTTCTCCTTAACCATTTCCCTTAAGCTGACTTCAGCACTAGATCTTTAAACCATTTAGAGATTTCCAAGTGCAATTGCACAAAGCTTCAAGTTATTTTGCACTTGTTTGTACCGGGGAGTGCTCGGAGTGCAATTCCCTGTAAGTGGGGAAAGTGTGCCACCTTGTGGTATTTATTAATTCAAGTAATTCGGTTCGACTTTCTCCCAAGTGACCCTTCTTTTCCCAGTAGTCTACGGAATGAAGACAAAGGAAAAATACTTTTTTCATTACTAATTCTTTTAAGTAAACTCCCTGCCGACCATGGGGCTCAAGCTTATAACCCCCAGAGCAAGAGTCCAACGCTCTAACGACTGAGCCTGCCAGGTACCCCTTTTCAATACTAATTTTACGTAATTTGAAATACTTGGGAAAAAAGATTTTGAAGCATCAGACTTTTTACCCTACTTAAGTAAACTGCTTTTCCTTTCATGTGGAATTAATAAGACTGTCAGCTCCCTTCTGTGTGGATTCCTGCTAGAAAGGACTGGGTGGTCAGCGCAATAAATGGCTTCCAGAGGGAGGAGGTTAGACAAAGATAGCAGTGGAGTAACAGAGCCTTTTCAACAAACACAAAGAATCTGACTGGGTCAAGGCTAAGGTACAGGAGTAGGGAGCAATGCGACGTTTCAGGGGAAGACCATAAGATGCTCAGAGCTTAATTTGACTAATTCCAGCAGGAGTCACTCAGGAGGATGAAAAGGAGTAGAGATAAATGGCAGCAATGCCGGTGAAGGAGAGTCCACATAAACGTGACCAGCGCATAAAGGGCCCGACAGGTAAATGGACAGAGTGTTGGTGGGTGATTTCCAAATGATCTGTATAAAATGCATGGCATGCTGTGGTCTTCAAAAACTAATTGCAAAAGAGGTGTAACGTTTACTCTACCAATTTATGAACTCTGGCTCCTCTAGCTTGTTTTGCTAGACCTTGGGAAAACCTGTAATTTTTCCCTATTTCGGGACATTCCCAAAGATGGGCATCTTATACTGGGAGAAAGCATGTTGGCCATAGTGAAGACCCTGCATCCTTGAAGGTACGGCTCAAGATTCTAGCTTGCATGATGCTCCTCCCTGGCCTCCTGTCAGCAGCTGAACCCACAGGACTCTGTGTAACTATTTCATTAACATTCAGTGCAGTGAAATTCCTTGGAGCAATGACACCTTAGGTGTTTTGAGGCCTTTGTTTACAAAGCCTGTGGTCCATTCCAAGGGTTTTCCTAGAAAAAGAAACAATCCACCCCCTAAAAAATGCACTGGTTCTCGCAAAACTGGAATCTACTTGCAGTTCCAGTTATTGTGAACCAAAGAACTTTTGGTGTCTCTGAGGAGTGCGATGGGATGGGGTACACACAGTTAGGGACACTTGTGTTGTCCTTAGCAGTCTGGACTTTTTTTAGCGTAACAAGAAACAATTGATTAAACATTTTAATTTTTTTAAAGATTCTACTTGAGAGTGCATAAACAAGGGGTAGGGGGAGAGGGAGAAGAAGCAGGCTCTCTGCTGAGCAGGGAGCCCGATCCGGGGCTTGACCCCAGCACCCTGAGATCGTGACCTGAGCTGAAGTCAGATGCTTAACCAACTGAGCCACCAAGGTGCCCCAAGAAAAGTGATCATTAAAATGAATAGATGAAAATGAATTTATAAAATATACTGCTAGTGATAAAGGAAGCTCATCAAAAAAATTGTCGATCATGTACGTAAAATAATTAGTATCATAAAATAAATTATAGTCCACTGGAATTCTATGAGGAATGGTGGGCAGGGCTGTTCTCTTCAAGAAAATATTGAATGAGGGGCAGGGAATTTCACGAAGATGGTGTTGGGGGCAGATCTAAGGAAAAAGCATAATAAAGATTATAAAACTTACTTTAAGGTCTATATAGTTCTGAATTATCTTCATTTTTACAGTATTACTTTAACAGTTTTTGAAGATTATATAAGTGAGTTTACAGTTTTTAATTGGCAGGGCTGTTCTTTTGGGTTCTGGAGGGAGACTAGAGGTAAGGTAGAAACCACCTTCCTCATGAAGATTTCAAGCCCCTTAATAAGTTTTAGCCAGAGCTTTCAACTTTTCTTATTCTGCTTCCTGTTGCTCACCAGTCTCTGAAACCAAAGGCTTCTCAAACCAGTATTTAGCACTGTTTATTTAACAGAAAATTTGTTTTACCTAACATACATAATAAGGGACACATACACAGGCAGGAGTTCCTCTATAGGAAAGCAAAGGGAAGCTTCTTAAGGACTTTCAAACATCTCCCCCAGAAAGGGCAGCCTACATGGAGGAAAAGAATGTATTGATAACAAAGCAGGATTCAAAATTTTAAAATTCCCTCATGTCTCCTTTCACAGGAAGCTGCTGGAAAATAGAGTAAGGATGAAGGGGGAGGTGGCCATCCAACAATGCCCCCTGGGGGACGGGTTTTACTTGAGCCGGGGAATGCACTGGGAGGTGAAGTAAAAGGGAGAGCAGCTAGCAGTCTGAACAGTGACTGGGGTCCCTGGGTGGCTCAGCGTGTGAATTGGCTGCCTTTAGCTCAGGTCATGATCCCATAGTCCTGGGATCAAGCCCCAGGTCAGGCTTCCTGCTCAGTGAGGAGCCTGCTTCTCCCTCTCCTCTCCCCCCTTTACTTTCATTATCTCTGAAAATATTTTAAAATTTGAGATACTGAGAACATAAGCTGGGGCGGGGGTGGTGTGCAGAGAGTGAGAGCCTGATGCAGGACTCCATTCCAAGATCCTGGGATCGTGACCTTAACCTACGGGAGACGTTTAACACACTGAGCCACGCAGGTGCCCCTCAAAAAGAGTGGCTGGAGAGAAGTAGTCTATTTCAGCAGGTCCCTACACGGAGATACCTGAAATCTGGCTAGAACTTTACACTTTTTGTATATAAAGCAAAGATACTCTTAAGTAGCAACACTACTTTGTAAAGATTTCATCAGAGACAGAGGTCAGCATAAGCAGGGGGAGAGGCAGGCAAAGCAGGCTCCCCGCTGAGCAAGGAGACGGATGGCCGACTCGATGGATCCCAGGAACCTAAACCATGACCTGAGCTGAAGGCAGACACTTAACCAACAGCCACCCAGGCGCCCCTAGGGTTGCCACTTTCCTTAATCAGGTATTAGATGGTTTAGTCTCAACCTTAAAGGACTGTTCTTCACTTTCTAGACGTGCAACATGCCTTGCTATGAGGACTGGCTGCCTGGGTAAGGATATGCCCATATCTAACATTCCTCTAATAGTAACACGGCAACCTTATAGGGAACATTACTCTGGGCCAGGCGGTCTCAGTGCTTTAACTCTATGCAGTTACTGTCCCCAGGATACACACAAGTGAGCTAAAACTTCCCCTAATAAACCCAGCTTTGACTGGGTTTACAACAATATGAAAGAAAGTCTAATTGCTTTTGTCCCTTTAGAATGATCTATATTTCCATGCTGCTAAAGGGTTAATAAGTGTACATAGCTTTTTAAAACTGCAAACTATGGACAAAACAGCTGCCTTTAGTCTGTATTTTAGTGGAACACACATCCACCTTATCTCTGGTCACTTTTCCACCTCAATTTCTAGAGCTCAGTAGTTGGCTCTCTATAAGAACACCTGACACCAGGTTTTAGACATTGATGAATCTTTCCATGCCTGCATCAAAATGAGAAGGTGAGGACAAATATCAAGGATGTAGGTACTGATGTTGCAGAGACAGGGGAATAAGAGTAGCTCCATCACCCACAACTGATTTTTAAAAGGTTCTCAGGAAGGAAGAAGCTTGAACAAAGTAATTAATTAGCCTGGAGGACAGGAGGACAAAGTGCTGGCCTAAGCCTGAAACCTCGGCTCTAATATATGAAAAGGAAGCCATATGCAGTAGAAGTCATGCAGAGACCTAGACAGACCCACAGGGCCTTTTGTTGGGGTGGGGGGGAGTATACCAAGAGTGCGTCTACAGGTCCTATGTATTCAAGAGGGAAAAATAAGTCTAGAAAGGTGGGGGGTGCAGGGACTATGAAGAGCTGATTAACAAGCGGTTATGTGATCAGATTCTATTCTTAAGTCCCTTCTTTCCCTGCCCCTCCCCCTCAAATCCACTTTCTACTTATCAACACTTCAAAGAATCAAGCTGAGAACTATGGTCCCAAGAGGCCTTTCCTAGGCACCCACACTCCACAACCAGCTGGCCCCTGGTTAGTGAGGATACACCACTCGTGGCAGACTGGCAAGTGGCCAAAGGTCCCTTGCTCCAGGTTCCTTCCCAGAGAACAGAAGACATGAACTGAGAGCACATACCAGCCCAGAATAAGAAACTACAGCTCCCAGCTTTCCTGAGTGGTAAGGTGATCCTTCTATCTGCTCCGACAAGGAGCAGAAGAGTGGTATAGAACCAACCTTACCAGAAAGCCAGCACATGGCCCATCCCTTTCTTTGCTCTCTCTTTGGAATAGGACTTGGAATATTCAAGTGGTAACAAAAAGTCCTCTCTGAGATAGTCACAACAGGAAGGCAGATGAATAGGTCCTTTTGGTGGCAGAGCCTGGTCAGCAAACCTCTACACTCAGGTCTGTGATTTAAACCAGCTACACCCCCCCCCCCTCGCCCAGTGTGAAGCTCTAATTCTCCATTGCTCTGACCACCCTGGTTCCACGCAGTAAACTACCAGGGAGGAGGCTGCTCTTATCTTCAAACACTTCCTGTATGATGTTTTAGGCAAGTATTACAGTACAGGTTAGAATTTAGCCCAAAGGAAGTATACAGAATCCTATGAATTTAAAACTACTTATTCCCTGGGGAAAAGTTTTATTTGATAATCCACTTTGCTTAAAAAAATTTTTTTAAAGTCGCATTCAACATGGGTCTAACAAACATGAACAAGCACTATTATGGGCCCTCCACCGACCTACAAAAAGCCTATGAAAAAACACACGGTTAGAGAAAATTGCAAACTAGGCTGTCTCGCTTAGGACTCCAGCGCAGGGCTGACTAAATGCTCATCGAAGAGGCGCTGTGTGCGGTAGTCAACCAGCTCCACCTGCACGGCGGTCTGATCGCCGTTCAGCCGCAGTCCCTCCGCGAGCACCGTGCGCAGCTTCTCTGTGCTGCCCGCCACCAAGCGGTTCACCTTCGGGTAAGCGAGGAGTCTTTCCAGCGGTACGTAGAACTTCTCTCCCACACTGTACGGCTTGGGGTACTGCTCTATTTCAGCCCTTTGAGCTTCTGTTAACCCGTGCTGCGGGGTGCAGCTGCCCAGCGGTACCACCCGGTCGCCCTCCTTTCTCCTTGGACCCCGTAGAAACCGGCTTTTCATCAAGTCGATGGCTTTCACCGCTTCAATACTCAGAGTAAACCGGAAGTATTTGCTTTGCTGTAAACTCGGGTATGAGGTGGTATAAACCTGAAGGAAAAATTACCAAGAGGTTTCGTTTCCTTAGGAACTTGCTACCACATTATGAACTGGGTATTAACTACACACATGTATCAAATCCTACTAGCCAGGCATGCCACGATATCATGGGAATCAAACCAGAGGTACAGACATTAACATCTGAGCTGCTTTAAAAATTCTAATGATCGGGTTGCCTGGGTGGCTCAGTGGGTTGAAGCCTCTGCCTTCGGCTTGGGTCATGATCCCAGGGTTCTGGGATGGAGCCCCACATCAAGCTCTCTGCTCAGCAGGGAGCCTGCCTCCCCCTCTCTCTCTGCCTGCCTCTCTGCCTACTTGTGATCTCTGTCTGCCAAATAAATTAAAAAAAAAAAAGAAAAAAAAAAGAAAAAAAAAAGAAAAAAAATTCTAATGATCGAAGTCTCCCAAAGCCAGCTTTCCACCAACTCACACCAACCCAATGTTCCTTCTTGATATTAGAGGGAAATGGGTAAAAAGATTCTTAGGAGAGCAGAGTGCTTATTCTTCAACATTATCTCCTGAAACCAAAAGGGCCTGAGAAGGTTGCAGCTTCAGGTGTTATACTCATTTCCTGGGCCATGCCGTGGAGGAGTGCTGCTGATCTTAATGGATTACTGGGGGGCCGGGGGTGGGGTTGCTGACATATTAGCTTGAAAACTTTCCAGGACTCCTGCTCTTTCCCTGTAATGTGATTTGAGACATGGCAAGAGGCCGGACAGTCTCTAGGGCGAAGTAGACCAACCCTGAAGGCAGTTGTGGGCATGAAGGATTCTAAGCACATTTACATTTATCTCTACAGTGAGGACCCTTACAAAGTTCACATCCTAATCCATGTGCTTCTTACCCTGGCCGCTACCTCCCATAGAAAACTCACAACTTCATAAACATGTTCTTCTGGCTCTGAAATGCTCGATTCAGTTGGCTTTGCTCTGTTTTTCTGGAAGACCCCTATTTGGGTACAGTATCCAACATGCTCAGCTCCTGCTGGTGGATCCCCCACACCAGAGAACTCTACAGAGTAATGGTAGAGCTTTGCCACATCCAAAGCCCTGAAATTAAAAGAAATGCATTTCTGAAAGGTATGGTTAGATTAAAAATCACCAGTAGATAGAAAAATACAATGAGCTAAAATACTTCCCAAGTTGCAAATTCTTACAGCAACACATAATGCTACTGGGTTTGCTTACTTCTGAGGAGACTTTAGGGTCCTGAGTCTACTTCCACGTAATCACAAAAATATGGAGAAAGGGGGAGTTAAGGAGCAGGGTGTAGGCATGAAAAAGGAGACTAAATGGCTATAATCCCAACTCAAATTTGGGTTTGCAGTCATGCCAGAAACGTGACCATCTGTCCATCTGTCAAGGCCCTGGCAGGGAACACTTGGGCAGGGCATGGGGGCTCACCCTCACTGCCCTACAACCCCCTCCCTATTTTGTTTCCCTATCTCCACACCAACACTCCTACTCCTCATGCCTTCATATCAGAAGTCACCTTGTACCCCAGGCTTTACGTGGCTGCCTGAGACCTAAGAAATCAAAAAATTCCATTTATTTTGCCCAAATATCGTGGTCCTTTTTATATGTCAAGCTGAATTTTGGGAAATTTTATTAGGATAATAAAACTTTCATAATGTGTGTATCAAGACTGACTTTATAGGATTTTAAACTCCTGTGGAGTAAACTCCCCCATCCTTACCACAAAATTCATAACATTTATGAACTCACCACATCTGAAACTGCTTTCTGTTCCACTCAAATCTGTGATCTGGATCTCTAAAGGTTGATGCTGGAAACAGGGGATTGAATTCAGAGTTTGGTGTGCTGATGACAACCATACCCGGAGAAAAGTACCCAAACACGACCTCAGGAAACTTGGCCAGATCTTCAGAATCTAAGTGTTCTATCCTGAAATGGTCAATGGGAAAAACAATGCAATTATTTTCCTAGCTGATTTAGCAAAAACATTTTCTACCTCTACATTTATCCCATCTGAATTTATGTAACAGTATTTATAGGACCTGAAACCAACTATTCCTATATCTTCACCCTGCCCTTGGACCACGTCACCCCCTCTTTCAGGGCTCTGGACCTCACTGTCAGTAACCAGAAGTATGAGCATTAAGTGTTAGCTCCCCAGAAGGCCTGCAGTGCTAGGAGACCAGAATAAATGCCTCACAAAAGCTGTGGGTTTCAGCATCAGATCCCAGCAGATTCTCACCCACACCCAAGGACCAGATCAACTGTCCCAGTACAGGCAGCCACTAGACCCAGGGAGCCATTTCTATCCTGATGCTGTATGTTCATCTAACCCACTTCTATCTTTGCCTTAAAGAGGAACAGGAGAGGCAATTTGACACTGAGTGTATGCCTGGAAAATGTTAAGTTTCCAAAGACAACAAACTGATGTGATTTTTAGGGCAAATGTGCCCATATATCTCCCCATAATCACTCGGCAGGATGGTGATGGGAAGGAAACAACCATTCAGACCAGTAAGAGAAGACACATAGGTAAATGACTCAAACTCAAGTCTTCAGTTTAGCTTCTTTGCAATATCAATGCAAATACTACACATCAAAATGTGTAGTTAGAGCTACAATGCACTTAGTGAAATTTATTGCTTTAAATTCACACATTAGAGGACAAAAAAAAAAGAAAAAGTCAATGCATAAAAGTGTAAAGACAATGGAAGAAATAGAGCAAAACTCTGAACCAGAAAATCATATGACCCAATAATCCCATTCCCGGGGTGAAATGAAAACTTGTGTTCATGCAAAACCTGTTCTGTGAATGGTATCTCGTCTCCATACTGGAAACCCAAATACCCTTAAGTGCTTGAAAAGGTGGTACATCATGAAAGGAATACTCAGAAACAAGGAAAAAACTGCCAAGAAATTAGATAAATCTCAAAAGGCATTCACTGGGAAAAAAAAGTTTCAAAAAATTATATACTGTATGATTACTACAGTGTTTCTAAAATCTATGCTGCAAAATGGGTGAGTGCTTGCCAGGGGTGAGGAAAAGGTGTGGCCACAAAGGGACAGCCTGAGTTGTTCGGGTAATGGAACTGTTCTGTGCCTTGACTGTAAGTTACACTAAACTATATGTGTTAAAATCCACAGAAATATACCTCTGCTCAAATATATTTTTAAAGATTTTTATTTGTCAGAGAGAGCACATGAGCACAAGCATGGGGAGCTTCAGGCAGGGGGAGAAGCAGAGGGAGAAGGTGGCAGAGGGAGAAGCAGGCTCCCCACCGAGCAAGCCTAGCAAGAAGTCCAAAGTGGAACTCAATCCCAAAACCCTGGGATTATGACCTGAGTTGAAAGCAGACGCTTCAATGAGCCACCCAGGTGTCCCCACTCAAAAATATTTTTACTGTGTTTAAAAATTAAGTAGGGGAGCCTGCTCAGGGGACAGTCTGCTTCTCCTTCTGCCCCTCTGCCCTCCCTCTGCCCCTCCCCCTGACTCATGCTTTCTTCCTAGCACTCTTGCACTCTTGATCTCAAAATCCTTTAAAAAATGAGGAAAACTTGAATAGGTGAACCTGAATAAAAGGTATTCCTGGTACTATTTTTGTGGCTCTTCCATCTGTATATCTGAAACTAAAGCCAATCCTGTCAAGTAATCTGCTTTACAAATAAATTTGAAGATTACAATTTAAATCTTGTTAGGAGACCAAATTTACTGAGAATTCTGATTTCCTTTTTTTTTTTTTTTAGATTTTTTTATTTATTTGACAGAGAGAGAGATCACAAGTAGGCAGCAAGGCAGGCAGAGAGAGGAAGGGAAGCAGGCTCGCTGCTGAGCAGAGAGCCCGATGGAGGACTCGATCCCAGGACCCTGAGATCATGACCTGAGCTGAAGACAGAGGCTTAACCCACTGAGCCACCCAGGCACCCAGAGAATTCTGATTTGTAATAAACTTATACAGTAAGAATAGGTTTAATACTTACAATTCAATACATGTTATCAAGTCAAATCCACACAAACGGGAGTCTTTTTGTACAGCAGAACCACGGTACAAGGTTATAGTCAAATCTAGTTCTCGAGGAATGATGTAACTCCCCACTCCTGGAGACAACCTACTCCTGTAAAAACAGAAGGAATATTAACACTGTAATCTTTCAGAATCTCACCAGCAGTGGAATTCTGATAATCTGATCCTCTGATCATTATCTACCGAAATGAATTTTCCAAGACTTGAGGTAGTAAGAAGGAGGTCTTAGGGTTAACTTCCTCATAGATTACTGGTCAATAAGAACAAGACTGAATGGTACTGATGCTCTCGCCATCTAATACTTTTGGTCTTCCAGCTCCCTGTGGATCAGTGATTAACTTTCTTTAGAAGAAAAAATGTCCTGAAAAAATCTGCAGTCAATATATATAGGAGACTGGGGAGCTGCTCAGGCTTAAATTGAAAGAGATCTGGGGCAATGATAATCCTCTAATTGAGTTCTCCTGGTGTCCAGCATTAAGATTTTGCCATTTGAAAATTGAATCTACAATGCTTTGTCTACTATAATTTCTTGACAGGTTTTACTTTCTACATTGGCAGGAAAAACTACTGTATCATTCACGATGTTATGGCACAATCGGTGACCTTGAGGCTCTCGGGGCCAATCTTTCAAAATAAGCTGTATAAAACTGACACTTCCTCATAGTGCCACTAGTTTTAGATTAATGCACCATACTTTCAGAAACTTGGTATTACCCTCCCCATTCAAAGGGTTTGGCAGCAATATCTACTCCAACAAGATACTGAACGCAGCGGTGGTATTTCAGCATCCATAGAAGCGTGGCGTCCCCGAAGCCCAAGTCTGCAATCTACAGATGAAACAGAGCATTGGAGACATTATTGCCAGAAGTCAAATAGGACCAAAAACTTTAGAGAGTAAGTGGTTATCAGAATTAACCATATAATTATGTCAAGATCTTTTTGGTAGTAAAAGGTACACAAAAAGGAAGTTAACCTGAAACGTTAAGGGACGAGTGGGCAGGGAATAAGCTGTGTTAGTGTTTGGACTGTAACGACTTCAGATGAGTACCAGGCACCCAGAACACCCCACATGGTAGGCAGTTACCCTATAAAACACAACTTTGAACGTCTGAGCAGCTTCTAACTTAAGTGCCTGATCTTGACCAATGTTTTAGGGATTTATGTTCAGTGTTAACCTAATCCCTTTAATGCACATTTGTATGTATTCTTAAATGGACTTCTTAATTATGCCTAAAGTCTTCATTAATCACTAAACACTATCACCTAAATTTCTGATTCCACCTTAGTAAATTAATACTTATAAAGTTTAATGGCACCCAATCCCAAAAATATCCCAAATCAGCTTCTAGGGTAGCTGACTGGCTCTAATCCAGCCTTAAGGGGGCAGCTGGCTTCAGCCTTAAGGAGGTATTTTTGGATACTCAGACATGAAAGATACCATATTATCTTAAGATGCACAAAGTTTTAATTCTGGAACAGACTAAAGTTTACCTCAAAATTCATTCTATCAGAAAACCAATTACAGCATTTACTAAGCTGCTTCCAAAAAAAATAAAAATTCCCTTCTGGAAACTGGGATTATAATTATACCTTAGCAATAGGCCCATTCAACCTATATTCAATCCAATTTTTCCTCAGATGTGTTTCATTTTTTACCTTTAATATTTTAGGTAAACCTCACAATTTACCACAATATTGCACCCTTAGCCATAAGCAGTTTCCTTTCTGAAGCTGGCACATTTATGGACAGTGGGAGAACGGTTATATGGCATTAAAAAACAACAACAACAACAACAACAAAACCTAGTCTAGGAACGCCTGGGGGCTCCATTGTTTAAGAGTCTGTCTTTAGCTCAGGTCATGATCCCAGGGTCCTGGGACAGAGCCCCACATCGGGTTCCCTGGTCAGCCAGGAGTCTGCTTCTCCCTTTGCCTCTCCCCTCAGGCTTGTGCTCGCTCATTCTCTAAAATCTTTTTTAAAAACCTAGTCCAAAAGCAAACTACAGCCTTAGGAAGCTTTAAACTGCTTTTTACATAGTATACTCAATTTCTTGTTAACCTAAATTTAGCTCAAGCTTCTCCTTCCCACAGACCCCTGAACTTTACCCTGCCCTCTCTGAAGACAGAAGTAACTGTATTTACAGGATAGACTTAGGTTAATTCGTTATACTATCCAATCATACCACCCTTTTCTCCCACTCCCCCACAGATCAGTTCTATTTACTCTAGAGAAAAACGTTTTTTCCCCCCAACTACTGATGCATGAAGATCTTATGGTCAGTGTTCTCCCTATTGCACTAATCCCTTTCCTTCCTTGCAACACATCTTCAGATGAGATCGGCACGTTCAGGGTGGTATGGCCGTAGACTGCAACACATCTTCAAATAGTCTCTGCTGACCTGCCAAATCCTTAAGTTTTTCTTATTATTTTGACTATAAGTTGATAAGGCAGTCTTCTAAGTGTTTGGAAAGAAAATACCTACCTTCTTGTGTCCATGTTGATTCACTAAGTTTTTAACAAAGTAGTATCTCTGTTCATACACTGGTGGTTTGAACTCAATCACTTTCTTGCTGAGAACTTCACAATGATCCATACTGTTGCCCTGAAGCAGAAGGGAGGTGCTCTAAATCATGCGCAGCTTCAGAAATTAAGGAAAAACCAGCCTCATTTCCCAGTTACTTGGTACAATACATTGGCCTTTCAACCTGTCCAAAAATCACTCAGTGGTACTTCATTTCCTCCATGGTTCATCCAAGCCTCCAGTCTTATCTTTTATTAAGTGAAAATATGGCTTTAAGCTTCTGAGGGCTTATTACAGTCAGCTGGAGGGAAAACTAACGCTTTTAACAATTCTAAGTCTCCTAGCCACAAGGGACCTTTAATGAACTGCCAAAGCCTGGAATACAGGTAGGCTGGAGACAGACTTGTTGACCAAACTAAAGAAAGGCTCCTATAAATGGTCTTCTGATTAGGCCTTGACCTAGACACCATCCTGTCTTGGGCCTGCTTAGGCCAGTTTCTCTCAAGAATCCTACCAAGTTAGCTTAGAGAATTCTCCACCTTTAATCTCACAGTCTGATCAAATTCCTTACCACCACCCCTTAATAATCCGATCCCCCAGAGCTACCCTATCAAGAATCCTGTTAAATGCTGCTTAATACCCAAAACTCTGGTGGTCTCTTCCATGCGCTCAGACCCTCTGCTGATGCTATAGCCATCTGCTAATGGCTACAAATCCCCGGCAGCTGAAAATGGGAGTTTTCACCATCTCTCATCTATTGCAGTGCTCTTGTGCTGTAGTCCTGATTAAAGACTTTCAATTAAGTCTTACTAAGGCATTTTTCAAGTGTTCAGTAACTACATGTGGCATGTGGCTACCTATTGGACAGCACAGACTCCAAATGTTGTTCTCAGTGATTCTCTTTTCCTGGAAATTTCCTAGAAATGCAGACTCTTAGGCCTCGCCCCACACCTCCTCAATCACCATCTTCAGTGAACAAGATCTTTGGTGGATCCAAAATCACATTATCACTTAAAGAGTATTTTTAAAGTAGATTTTGCTACTTAAAATAACTGATACTCTTTTCACTTCATATACACCAAATGTGGAATTTTACCTTTTGTATATCCTTGTTCGATCTCATCCAACACCCCAAGAAATGCTAGGAGCTAAATTTGATGGGATTTTACTTTTAACTACCTCACAATCCATCTCAGGGATACCTCTTGAGAGTCATACAAACAGGTTTAGGAGCAGCATTACCTGTTTGTTTTCTTCAATTTTGTTAAAACAAGAAAACAGTGTATCCTTCAAGCTCTATGAACCAGCCATGGCTCAGCTGTAAATACAAAACAGCAGTTTTGTAAAGGAGCCTGAGCACAAGAGGCGCCTAGATCAACCAGGGACAGAGCAAGTTTCCTCCCCTCTTTACATGTTACCATTTAATTGACTGAATTTGCTTAATAAGTATGGCTTCAGACAAAACAAGCTCAGAAAGCCCAAGTCATCTTTCATCAGGACAAACGCAGCTAAATACAGTAACAACTCTTCTTCCCTTTTCCCTGTTAGATTCGATACAATCTGAACAATCCTATGAATTAATGACTATTTCTTAAAAGCCCTCAAGTTTATTATCCGCTTCATCATCCTTTAATCAGGCTCCACCATTTAAGTCACGATCCTGAGATCAAGAATCTTATGCTCTACCCCATGAGATAGCAGGCACCTTCAAATTGCTTTCAATCACTTTCTCACACATGATCAACAAATGAAATTTCGGGGAGAAAAAAATGCCCGAAGTAACTAAGAAGCTAAAAACACTTCCAAAATCCAATTCACTGATGGACTTGAATGTCAATTTTGGTTCTCAGCCTAAAAGGTAAGCAACATGTCAATTACCGACCTTTGAGTTACTAAGTCGTATCTCACCCCGCTCCCCCAAGTGACGTAATGTCAGAGTCCTCCAGTCCTCCCAGAGCATGAATACCCGGTCCCCGCACGTCTTACCTCCTGAGCGGAGCACCAGCGGGAAAGCAAAGCACTGCAAACTCCCCCTGCCTGTCCGCAGCCGCCGCAGTATTTAACTTCAGGCCCCGCCCCTGAGCCCCGCCCGCGCCGCCTCGCAGCGTGACGTTACCCGCCCGCGGCCGCACCTGAAGCGCCCACACCTGCGCGGCTCCCGCCGCAGTCTTGGCCTGTGGCCCGAGGCGTCGCTCGCGGGCAGACGCCCAGCCCTGTGCCTCCGGGCTTTGGGCTGCTAGGCGTCGGTTTTGGGTCTCTTAACGGCCGCGGTGACGCATGCCCCGAAGCCATTTTCGAGGAGTCCCTCTGAACCTTGGAGGAGACCGCGGTCCCAGCCGCGTCCCCCACCGGCGCGCGGCTGCGACCCGGCCCGGCCCGCTGAGAGTCGAGACCGTTGGACTGAGGCGGCGCCGCGCCAGGCCTAACTGGCCTCCCCCCACACCCCACCCCAACATCTTTCTTTTTTTTTTTTTAAAGATTTTATTTATTTGACAGACAGAGATCACAAGCAGGCAGAGAGGCAGGTAGAGAGAGAGGAGGAAGCAGGCTCCCTGCCGAGCAGAGAGCCCGATGCGGGGCTCGATCCCAGGACTCTGGGATCATGACCTGAGCTGAAGGCAGAGGCTTTAATCCACTGAGCCACCCAGGTGCCCCCCAACATCTTTCTTTATACTGAAAATGGTATTTAAAGTGGTGACTTGGGCTTCCTCTGGGATTTACTCATTCTTCCCAAGTATCTTCTCTGTTACGTGAGGTATACATATTAATAAACTCCGTTGTTTTCTTGTTAATAGTTTTTTTTTTTTCATTTAACAAATTTAATTAGAAGAAGCACTCTACACCCCCATGCTGGGTAAATGAACTACTAGGTCTGTTCAAGCCTTCTGCCCATTAGTCTATTGGATTATGTAAGTAATAGGTCTTTTAATACAGGGGTCTCAGCCAAAAACTCTGAAGGGTAGAGAGAAAATAATTTTTCTTCCTCTTCAGGATGATTCCCTTTATATGAGGTACCTAAAGTAGTCAAATTCACGAAGACAAAGTAGAATGGTGGTTGCCAGGGAGGGGCTTGGGGTGGAGGGAAGGATTTGAGTGTTGACGGCTAATGAGTACAGAACTCAGTTTGGGATGATGGAAGAGGGCCATAGATAGACGGTGGTGATGGTTGCACAACAGTGTGAACGTACTTAATGCCACTGAACTACACACTTAAAATGGGAAGTTTTAGCACAAAATATAGACTTGTTGAATCAGTATCTTATATACATACCTGGAAAAAAAATTTAAGTGTTATGTATATTTTACCACAATTTAAAAATATTTAAAGAGATTTTTTTAGGAGTTAATAAATGGGGGCACCTAGCTGTCTCAGTTCGTTAACCATCTCCCTTCAGCTCAGGTCATGATTGAGCCCCTAGTCCTGCTCCCTGCTCAGCAAGGAGTCTGCTTCTCCCTCTCCCTCTGCCCTTCCCCCTGCTCATGCTTGCTCGCGCTCTTTCGACTTAATAAATAAAATCTTTTTAAAAAAGTTAATAAATCATCTGTACAGAATTCCTGGATTTAGAGTTTTTGCCTTAAGCTGTTAGCTGGCTCATTTATGAACTTGGGATTCTCATGTCCAGCTCCCTCTCCAAATGTGCCTATTTCATCATTTTCCTTGGTTTCCTACTCTTTCAGTGTGAAGATCATCCTTGGCTCTATCTATTTCCACCCTTCTCAGATTTGGACAATCACCAAATCTCGACCTCTTCAAACTGTCAGTTGCATCTATTGCTTCCAGTGGCTAGTACCCTTGCTTACCCTTTGTTGTCTTGTTTCCTCATCATGCCTAATCTTACCTTCTGCCCCTAGATTTTAAGTCCCACTGAGACCATGTGCTACACTTTCCAAATGAGTTTAAGTCAAATAGACCTGTCCCCACCCACCACACTTTCTTTTCTCTTTACTCTGCATTGTTTAAAGATTTTATTTATTTATTAGAGAAAGAGAGCATGGAGGGGGCGGGGTGGTAGGATGAGAGAGAGAAGCAGACTTCCCATTGAGCAGGGAAGCCCAATATGGGACTTGATTCCAGGACCCTGAGATTATGACCTGAGCCAAAGGCAGAGCCAGATGCCAAAGGCAGTGCCACCCAGGCACCCCTACCTGCATTATTTTTGCCTTAGCATTTACTGTCATTTGATAACCTACATATTTGTTCATTTGCTTATTGTCTATCTCCTTCCCCTAAAAGTATTAGCTATAAGGGACTCAGTTTTGTTAGCTATTATAGCTCCAGTGTCCAGAACACTGCTTGCCTGGTATATTGCAGACCCTCACTAAACATTTCTTGGATAAGTTAAAGAATTATTATATTGGATACCTTTTGTCTGTTGCTGTTTATTATTGTAAAATGAAATCTTGGACTTTGGCCAACTAAGAGTAGGTCTCTAGTTGGATTCATGCACATTTATAACAAGGGTTTCCATGATAGTTTCTAAACAAATTTGTGTGTGTGTGCTTTTATGTATGTGACAGAGAAAAAGATACACACATATAACAGGTTATGTTCTCAACTTTCTACATGATTATACTGATTTTCTTTATAGTAAAAAAGATCAATATTGACTTGACTATTACTCTCTAACCTTTGGAAATTTACTTATCCTCTCTGAGTGTCAGTTTTTTCAGTTGCAAAGTAAGAAATAAGATTACCCATTCAAGGGGTTCCTGGGTGACTCAGGTGGTAGAGCATGGTGTCTGTCTTCAGCTCAGGTCATGATCCCAGGGTCCTGGGATCAAGCCCGGCATCAGGCTCCCTGCTCAGCGAAAAGTCTGCTTCTCCCCCTCCCTCTTCCCCTACCCCTTGCTTGTGCTCTCTCTCAAATAAATAAACAAAATATTTTTAAAAAAGAGAGAGTGAGAGATTACCCATTCAAGGGAACCCTGGTTGGCTCAGTTGGTGGAGCATGTGACTCTTGATCTCAGGGCTGTAAGTTCGAGCCGCACACTGTGTGTAGAGGTTACTTAAAATCTTAAAAAAAAAAAAAAAAAGATTACCCATTCAATAACTGTGTATAGTGTACCTATTATGGACCAAGTACTGGTCTGAGAGAAAAAGACAGATAAAGATCCTTCTGGTGGCTTTTTCAGTCCAGGAGTTGTAGATGTGTAACAGGTGCAGGGGTGTGAGAGCTCCTGGCTCTGAGGGCCGTAAACAAATCAGGTTCAGCTGCTGGCCACTGCCCGAATCCAGAGGCAGAGAGACAAGTGACAGTAAAATAAGTAAGGAATTTATTTTAGTGAGGTCAACACAAGGAAGACAGTGGACTAACTTCTCAAAATCTGTCTCCAAAGTGCTGAAAATATGTCTACATTTATTTAAGGAAAATGTGGGATAGAGGTCGGGGGTACAAGTAGGTAGGCAAAAAGGGGCAGGTCTATCACTCAGGGCCTTGCTGACTTGGGGTAGTCAATATGGCTTGAGAGGTAGTTTCAGCACCCACCAAGGGATGCTTTGCACACAGGATCTTTTGCCTAAGAGGTGATCTGGAAAGGGAGAACTCAATTAGAAAGTACAAACAGATCAAAAAAATGGGGACAGGTGAGGTCCTCTTTCACATGTCTGCCATAAAATAGGTGACTGAAAGTTATTCTGAATGCTACAGTGAGCCTGACACTCAAATAGGATGAAATATTTAGAGGTCTTAGGAGAAGATTATTGTATTTTACATGTAAAAGGAATGTATAAACAGTTTGTGGCCAGAAGGAAAATTATGACAGTTTAAGGTGTGCTAAGATCCACAGGCAGTAGTTTCTGTCCACAGGTCCTATCCCAGTGCTTGAATAAAACCACCTCTTTTGCACCCACTTATAGATAGGAGAGCAAATGGGGTATAATTTATACTCCAGAGTTCCTCTGAGGTATCAGGCTATTATCCACAGGACTTGACCTGAATTTGCACTGTTGCCTGTTTTCCTCCCAGTCCTACTTCCCCTCTTCCTTACCAGCTTCTCCTGGGAAGATCACTTGCACCTAAATCTTCATATCTCATAATCTGCCTGGGGGAACCGGACCTGGCTGGGTTTGTTTTGTTTTGTTTTTACGATTTTATTTAATTATTTTCCAGAGAGAATGAGAGAGAGGTCAGGCAGAGGAAGAAGTGGGCTCCCCACTGAGCAAGGAGCACAATGGAAGACCCTGGGACCAAGACCTGAGCAGAAGGCAGATGCTTAACTGACTGAGCCACCCAGGCATCCCCCTCAGGCTGTTTTGTGGAGAATTAACTGGACGCCAGGAAGAGTGGAAGCAGGCTGCTCACTTAGAAGGCCATTTCGGTAAGTCAGAAGAGGTACGATAGTGGCCTGGATTTTGTGATAGCAGTGGAGGTACAGTGATGTGCACAGAGTCCAGACAAATTTCGTAACGATACAGCTAACTGTAAGTGGAAAAAAGGAGGACTCAGGACTATTTCCCAGCCTCGTGCACGTTACATGTGGTGGTGGCACCAGGTGTGGCCTCGACCTGCGGAATGACATAGGTAAGCTCCTGGGCCTGTACATGCTGCAGGAACACTTGGCTGGCAACTGCATCATCACATCCAACCAGATGAATCTGGGTCAGGTTAGCAAGGTGACGGGCAGGTTAATGGACAATTTAAAATCTGTGCTCTCTGCAGAGCCATTCTCTGGACTGTTGAGTCGGATGACTTATCTGGCCAAGGCTGACAGCACCATCTCAAAGAACTTCTGAATAGAGAGGGTCACAGATGTGGAATATTTGGTATAAATAAATTGTGGCACCCACCCCCAATATTTACCAGTTTCCTGGTATGATCAATTGGGAGGATAGAGGTACCATTACTAGGTGCAAAAGACTCTGGAGGAAGAAGATTGGAAAGGACTGAAAATCAAG